TCCAGTACAAAGTCATAGTCACAGAACAAGCCAAGATCAGGAAACAGAAGTACATAAAAAGCAAGACAAGGGCACAGTCATGCACAAGACAAGGGTTAAGAACCAAGAAGACAATAGCACAGGATGCAGGGAGCAGAGGCAAGCTAACCAGGCAGTGTTCAGGAAGAACAAAAGTGTGACAAGCAAGGCGAGGTAGCAAGACGGCAAAGCAGGGCAAGGCATGATAGCAAGGCATAGCAGGATACAGCAAGGCAGGGCACAGCACTGCATCATGATGCAGGAAGGCAAGACAGGACAATGCAGAAGCTGAACCACAGGTAGCAGGAATACTTGCCTTGCTAAAGCAGCAACTCAGCAAAGAAGGTGCAGCAATGCACAACAGGAACCAGATCAGGGATGGCACAGGAACTGCATCAGACCACAGCCCATAGGAAGCCCTGCGTTACTGAGGTGGCAGGACACAGCTGGTTCTGGCAGGAACCAGATGCAGCAAGGGTCAAGGAAAGTGCAGGAGCTGCACCACAGCTAGCAAGAAGATCTGCATTGCTTAAGTGAGACAATGAGGCAGGATCTGGGTCAGGCAAGATGCAGGTACTACAGCAAACTGGAACCTGCGTTGCTGAGGCAAAGTTCTGGAGGGAAGAGCTTGCTCACCCTAGGACTCCCAGCTGGCACTCATCAGGAAGCTGAGAGCTCCAGCAAGGCTTGGGGTGGATCCAGCAAATACTGAAGTAGTTCCAGCCACTAGATGATTCCCCAGTGCAGTCCAGATGCTGACACGAGGTTTCAAGTGTCCTACAATCAGACTGGATTCTAAATTGAGAGGATTCTAAATCCTCCCAATTGGGGAGCGAGTGAAGGGAAGGAAATGTGAAAAAGTGGGGAAAACTTGTAAATGAGGGGGAAAGGTGATGAAAAACAGGTTTTTGAGATGGAAATAGGAGGAGAAAGTCTGAGGAAGTAGAAGCACCAGAGATCCCAAGGCACTGCAAATGGTGGTCAAAAGCGAACTAAGGAAATGGTGGGAGCCCACCTATATATATTAATGCGGAAGGGTGTGGGGCTCCTGCCAACATTTCTAGGCTTAGCTAGAAGAATCTTCCTGAACATAGGCACTGCGCAGGCGCAGCACCCCCTATATGTGTGATGAACAGAGACCATGAAGAACTCTGAATTAGACTCTGGCTCCAAAGTTATAGGACCCACAGTGTTTGGCCCAATGACAGGATCCTAACTCTGTACCAGTCCAGTTAGCCTAGCATCATCATCACCCAAAACTGGGTGGAACAGTGAACACCCTGGAAGACAGAATGAAGATCCAGGACAATCTTGATAAGCTTGAACACTGGGCTGAAAGCTAAAAATGAGATTCGGCAGGGACAAATGCCAAGCCATCCACTTAGGAAAATGAAACCAAATACATCAGTGCAAGATGGGGAATATATGGCTCAACAGAACTGAAAAAGACCTTGGAGTTACTGTGGACAACAGGCTAAATATGAGTCTACAATACAATGCAGCTGCAAAAAGGGCAAATGCTATTTTGGGAGCAGTGGTTTTCTACCTTTCCACAGCAGGGGACCAGTGAAAACAGGAAAACCACCAAGGGGACTGCTGAGGCAGAAACAAAAAGCTAGTTATGGCGGGAAGAGCTTATATATCCCTACCCCCAGGACTCCCAGCTGGAACTCATCAGGAGGCTGAAAGATCCAGAAGTGCCTGGGACCTATCCTGCAAAAATGCTAGCATTTCTGTTCTTGGTACCATAGCAGTCCAGATCCTGGCATTAGGCAGAGGGAATTGTTATCTCTTGCTATGTTGTTCTTTTGACTGGAGAGCCTAGTGATTAACTGTGGAACTTTTTGCCTGCAAAACATGTCCCTCCTTTCTTTTGTCTGTCTGGGGAAACAATCCTTTTAAAAAAATGGATGCTTTCTTACAATTTGCATTGCCTGCTGTTTCTCTGCAGTGGGATGTGGGCAATGTACGGATAACAGGATCTGCTGATAGACCTGCAGATGATTTGATAGACCATGCAGATGAACCTTGCCAGGTTCAGCAAGCAGTTCCTATTCCTAGTGGTTGAGCAAAAAGTCCTTTGTTCCTCCTAAGCTGGACAGCTAAAATAAAAGATATGAAGGGAAATTAAGGGAAAACAGTTCTGAAAGGGTTTCTGCATAAGCTCCAGTTCTGATAATGAAAACGAATTCCTGTGATTGGCATGTGCTCAGAGACACCATGCTCCTCAATTCTAAATCCCATTCTCTGATCTCCAGTTGGCAGACCTCAAGGTTCCAATGAAATATCCTGCCAACCATCCCAAACTACACCATGTTAACCATGGCTTCTATGCAACCCACTATTACTAGCAGGAATAAACTATAGATAATTCTTCTAGCTACCATGGCACCTTATTCCAAATCAAGATAATAATAGCAAAAGTACCTGGTGTCTGGAGACAGAGCTTACCTCAAATATTACTGAAATTATGGACTGAGATGAAGATTCACCCACTGCCTAAAGTCTTCCTCTTTTCCATTAAGAGGAAACACTGAATCATATTAAAACCTGGATTCCTCCTTGCACATCAGAGGAAGGAAAGTGCAAGACGTGAGCAATAGCACCATCTGGTGGTGCCCAACCCAGCAATGTCACTGCTCGACAAATTACAAGGCATATGGCAAATAGCTTCTTGGAGAGTTATGGCATTTCCAGCTGTAGGGTTTTACAGATCAAGTCAGCTGAGTCAGTACTCACAGTGCTTCACAAGAATGGAGCAGCAATTCCATAGGAGTCTTATCTTCATCATACCTTCAGCACCCTTCATGTGCAAGTCACATAAATATTTTGCATGGCATCACCTACTATTCACTGCCCAGTATCCACATGGCCAGAAAGTGGTATATGCAACATTTAATGACTAAATATTTGGACAACACACACACACACATATATATACACACATATACATACATATATATATAACTTTCCACAGCAGGACATCCGCAGCCAGAGGTAGATTTGCTTGATGAGATGTAGTTCTAGTAAGCATGTATCATTTTTAAAAAATCAAAACTCTTTGCATAATGACACTGCAAAAGCAATCTTCCCTGATTCAAACAAGTTGTGCCATCAAATTTAAACAATCGAGCAATTCATCAGCATATAGGAAAATGGAAGGCAGAGTTATTTATAGAAAATCTGATGCTACCTCTAATCCCCTTAATTGTTCTCCATGTGACACTGCTAATTGCTTTGATGGGACTTAGCTGCTTCTGCAGTTCGGAATAACAGAGTCTCTGCTGAGCTGCTAGAACACTCATAATTACACACTTAATCTTCAGCAAGGAAGAAAAGAACCCCCAGTTTTGAATAAGTTTTTTTCCCCCTCAAGCAGACATATTTTGAAAAAAAAAGTGTGGCTGGGATGCAAACCATTGACACTTCTGCACTGTTCAGAATGTTGTCATGTAGAACCTGACACTTTTTGTACAGGTACAACTCCCATTTCATCAAAAGCCTGTAATTTCTGTACAGAAGAAACTATGTACATCTGAAAGTAGAAATCAAATTTGCTCTTATCTGGCTCTGCAAAGTTAATGTGGACTATTTGCTATTAGTAGCTGATCATGCTGACAATGATAGCTGGCATATGTGGGAATTTGCCAATATTGGTTAGTCAGCACACAGCAATGTCCGTAACTCTGATAGTACTGATATGTGACAAAAAGCAAAACTAAAAGACTTCAAAGAAAGGCACAATCCTATGCATGCTTCAACAGAAAAAAGCCTCTCTGTTCAAATGTGCGTAAGATTGCATTCTAAAGTTCTCTTTTTTCAGTCAATTTTAAAATCTGAATTGTATCATTTGATGTTGTATGTTTATTTTCATGCTGAGTGGTCCTCTACTATAGCTGCACAGAAGAAAGACTGCACATCTATCCCCCGCTTCCACCCTCTTCAAAGGCAGACAGCATCCTTGACAGCAGTGCCTCATTACTTCATGAAATACTTGCTAACCGTTTGCTTGGAACTTCAGAAAGGCGGCATGTGCCCCCGCTCCAGCATTGAGCTTATTCTCATCTACCCAAATGTCTGCTACAGCTTTCTTAAAAGAACTCTCTACATTCCTTTTTGTCGTATCTGCAGTTTCCTCCAATGGTGCTACTTCTTTTCCGACAATTCCTTTGCAAAGCCCATCTTTTTAGTAGACTTTGATGTCTGTCTGCATTTGCTAACATTTGTTCCTTCTTATCCTTGTTTCTCCTAGCCCAGTCTCCCACCTAAATTTACACTGCATCCTATTTGGGGTAAGGCACAGCTTTTTATTTATATTGATAATGCTGTATAATCCTTCCCTCCTACCCCCTACCTCACAAAGGACAGGAAACCGTTCCATACAGCAGGATCAATATCTGAGGCCCTCCTTGGACTGCCTCCTCAAAGAAAGGTTCAGAGGATGGCTGCAAAGGCAAGGGCTTTGTCTGGTTGGCTGATTGTGTCCCCAATGAGGCCTGTCCAACAGCAAACTAGGCATCTATTTATTCATGTATTTATTTAAAACATTTATACCCCATCTGCTGTCTCACTTGGGCCAAGGCAAATTGGATGGAAAGTCTGTTAACTAGGTACTCTCCCCTATAAAAACAAAATGATGAAAGCTCACAGAACACTTCCATATTTGCTTAAGTAAGCTTGAACCAGTACAGGTTAGTTAAGGTATGCCAAATAATTTTTTGTAGCACTTTCTCTTTCATTGCTTGTGAGACCTAGGGCTGTGTTGCTCTGTGTTATTGTACTTATCCTGGGACAAACATCTAGAAGGAACTGATCCTACTACTTGTCAGCCAATAGTATCTTGTAAGATGATGCAACTAAGAATTTTAACAGCTTGGCTCTCCTTTTCCCCCACCAAAAAAAGGCATCAGAAGTGCTACATTTGTTCTGTTGGATTATGCTGGCAGATGCCCAGACATGTAAAATAGATTTTAGAGACATAAAACAGTTATTGTATAGTTTATTCTTACAATTAGATCCATTCCATTAAAAAGTGGTTAAACTGAGACTGGCATAGTTCCAAGGAATGAAAAAGTAATACAACTGGATATAGTAAACTGCCACTAAAGTTAGTAGGCAATTTTGGTATTTTTTATATAAACGATTTGACTTTTTAAAACTACACATAAGAATATATTCAGAGGTACCATTTAACAAGAGGGGCTTTTAAATATAGGCCAAGAGCCAGGAGGCTGTGCATGCAGGCAACACCAGGGCTTGTCCAGACTTGCTGGAAAGGATACTCATTCAGGTTAGATGACCCTCTAGAGATCGTTTCAAAGCAGTGCAAAGTGTTGCAGCTAGAAGGAAAAAGAAGCCTCTCTCCGTTGAAACTGAAGGGCTTTCTCCTAGCATGCCCAGTGTCCTCTGGGTACTGGCTGTGGAATGTAGGAATGGTAAAATCTACCCAACCACTTCTTAAAAAAAATAAAAAATTCTTCCTTCTTTAAAAAGTAAGAAATGAAGCATTGCCAAACCAACTTGTAGTAAATTGGAAACAGAGAAAGTCTGAACAACACTGTAACTATGAAATATTTTCACACACTTTAGGGTACAAATTACCTTACACTGGAATCCAAGACAATGCTCCCACTGATTTAACAGTGCCGAACTGGACCCTTAGCTAGTGGCTACAGGGTACTATGTATTTTTATTAAACTATTTTTTCATACTTCACCTTGAAGTGGATAACAACGTGATTTAAACAGTGTCAAAAGGGTCTTCATTTAAAAATCAAGTACTTTAGAATCAAGTCTACATCATTTCTGCTATGGGTTCTAACATTTTATATTCATTCATAGGTTATACCAGTGCAAGTGTCACAATATAAAATTGCACAGAAAATAAAATATACAGGTTAAATTAGTTAATAAACATCTATTCCACTTGAATGTTATATTAAGTAACATAAAGACTGAGACTTGCCCATTAAATATTCAAATCAACATTAGAACATATACCTGTCTTATATACAAATAAAAAATATACGTCTATAGTGGTATGATCAGGCACAGCAGAATACATTCTTCTAGATTTATGAACATTTTCAGACTATTGCCTGACAGAGACCTCTTAGATTTGCATTTTGTATTTTTTCATAACTGAAAGCTCATTATGAACTATGATGAATCTTGTTAACGTCTAAAAGGGGTTTGTGAGTCTGTTTTACTAACCTGTTCGCTCAAGAGATTAAATGTGTCTATGAAGATAAGGGTGCAATACTTGTCATACTTACTCAGAAATAAATCAACGGAGTCAATAAAATTTGCTTCCAACTGTATATAGGACTGTAGCTCATTCACATTCTGAACAGTTCAATTTCACAGTTCATCCTTTTCAAAGTCATCACTAGTTGTGCTAATTTATGAGAGCTACCTCCACATGGACTGCATTATTGCAATATGAGCAGAGCAGTATCTTTTTAATATCCAAAACCAGTATTAGTGGTAAGTGCTGCATGATAGAAAATGTAGCAGTCACATTCACTGTAAAAGCACGAAGGAAGTTTAAGAATAGTTCCATGGAATTAGAAAAGCATGGAAAAGAAAGTAACCCGACCATCCAATTCAGACTGCATTGAAGAAAAGGAGATACTTTTCTCACAAATAGGAAATTAGCTCTGTTCTAGTGTCAAACACACTTTTAAAAGGCAGTCTTAATTATGTGAATTGCTCAGTTAAATTGTTGGGGAACTGGGAGACGCCTGGGTTACAGGATTTCCTCTTCATGGAGCCTCCATCCTGTAGTCTTCATCCTCTTATTGTCTTTGTCTTGACATCCTTTTTCACATTCTGAATTATCCATTTTAAGAATCTGGTACCCAGAAATCATGTATTTTCCCCTAAAACAAAAAGATTTTGATGTATGTGTGGGGGGGTGTCAGAACATTTAGATATGCAGTTGTGGAACAAATGAATTTGTAGGCAAATGAACTTCAGTGGAAAACTTTACAATTAGCTTAACTGGTAGAATAATTAATAAAAGCCTTGGTTAACCCACAACCCATCCATTCATTAAGTAGGCAGCTGGTAATTTATTGTAGTTTGATTTGTAACTCTAGGAGAATACAAGATGGCCTTTTCACCTATCAATAAATACCAACTTACATTTAACCAACCTTGTACTTCCTGCATTACCAAAAGGCACATATGCTCAAGTTTAAATTTAAATCTAACATCAGTATTTTTAAAGTGCCTCATAGCCCTACCAAGCACATACCTTTTAAAAGAAAGCAAAGAAACTTTTAGAAAAGGAACCTTTTTTTTTTGTTTTGTTTTACAAAAGCAATGGGATAAAAAAAAATAAAAAGCAAACTACTTATGTAGATTCCTAGTGATCTTTTAATCAGAACACGGAGCAGCTTAGCTTTAGCAAAGCTGAAGCATTGGGGGCAGCCCCAAACAAGTACGTCCTACCACCTGCTTACTAGACCCTTGCCCATCTTGGCTACTCAGGAAAGCCAATGATGGGATTGGGACCTGGATCCTGGAGGTGATCAACGCCTCTTTAAGAGACGGCCGGGTACCTGCCCCTTTAAAGGAGGCGGCAGTCTGGCCATTCCTAAAGAAGGCATCCCTGGATCCAGAGGTGGCCACCAATTATAGACCGGTGGCCAACATCCCGTTTCTGGGCAAGGTCTTAGAACGGGTGGTGGCAGGACAACTCCAAGCACTCTTGGATGAGACTGATTATCTGGACCCATTTCAGTGTGGCTTCAGACCTGGGTACGGTACTGAATTTGCCTTGGTTGCCCTGTACGATGACCTGTGCAGGGAGAGAGACAGGGGGAGTGCGTCCCTGTTGGTCCTCCTGGACCTCTCAGCGGCTTTCGATACCATCAACCATGGTATCCTTCTGGATAGGCTAGTGGGATTGGGGGCCGGAGGCACTGCTTTGCAGTGGTTCCGCTCCTATCTCAATGGCCGATTTCAGAAGGTGGTGCTGGGGGACTATGGCTCTGCGCCATGGCAGTTCCGCAGGGGTCCTCTTTGTCCCCCTTGCTATTTAACATCTACATGAAACCGCTGGGAGAGGCCATTAGGAGGTGTGGGCTGCAGAATCATCAGTACGCTGATGATACCCAGCTCTATTTTTATTTATTTATTCATTCATTCATTCAAAACATTTTTATGCTGCCCCCATCGCAACGAAGCCTCGGGGCGGCTCACAACATAATTAAAACATATAAATAACAGTTTATACAATTAAAGATTAAAAAGCCCAGTAACATCTCAGCTTAAAAATTTTAAATCCTATAAATGTCATCTTTACAACACATTGGGAGTTGCTTATCATATAAGCATGAGAAGACACATTTGCACAACCTTTGTTTCCACAGGTAAAATGCTATTTATGTTAATATGTGCGATATTTCTCTAAGTGTACAATGACATGAAAAGCTAAACATACTACCTGAGTGGGCCGACAGCTGTGTATCATTTCCTGCCATTTGCTGTATGTTCTGGCAACTAAGTCTTTTACCTAGGAAGAGAAACACACAAACTGACAGTAATCTATTGAGGAAAAGGATTACTACAGCTCACACACACACACACGGGATCGGAACACAGTGGGACTTAGTTTTGAGTAAACATGAAAAAAGAATTGTACTGCATCTGCTGAATTTTCCTAATTTAATATAAATGTGGCTTGACGAAAATCTAATTGCTCAAGTGAACGTAACTCCAGGCAATGCACACTTGTACAGCTAGTGTGGCTAAGAAACATGTGGATGCTTTAGGAATGAAAAGGTGAAGTGAACTTTGCCTTTAATTCTCTCGATTTATTTCCCACCCAAATCAGAGACTACAAGGGGAACCTGCGACAAAATGTGGCAGTATGGAATGGTCGTGCTCAGTGTTCCAGTAAGTATCACAACCAGATACAAAAGAGACCACAGCTCCTATTGTTGTAACCCCCCTCACAATCGAACATGCAGCTAGGGCATGGCTCGTCACAGGTAAGAAGCATGATCAGAGTGTCCTGTTCGCATAAGAACAAGAACCCCAACGAATGTGCACGCTACGCAAGGCTGACCACAAAGCAGCCTTTGTTGCTATGCGCTAGCATAACGTCATGCCCTTGTACCCACGCTTGCTTGCTTTAGCATAAAAAATGTGTGCAAATGTAGCTCAGTGGATTTCCCCTATTGTTCGCTGTTATTCAAGCACCTGCATAGCCGTCCGTGTAAAAGAGTATAAAAATCCTGCCTTCGATCTGCTCAGCACCACACTCTCACGAGTGCATGGTCCCTGCCGGCAGGTAAATAAATCTCTTGGTAATTCCAACCAGTCTCTGGTCTCGTCTGTAAAATCGCCCCACAACATTTGGAGGCTCCAGCGAGATGTTGAGACTATCGGTCTTGCCTCCCCCCCGACACCAGGGACAAGCCCATAGGCATCTTATGCCTCTACCCCGGTTCGGTGGGACGTCTGACTAGCCGAGAGAGGAGTAACCGGTAAGTGCGCACGGCGGTTCCCCGCCATCTGTTCTGAATATCTGCAGATCTGGTATTGGAAAGAAAAGCCTGCTGGACGCAGCGTAAGGGCTACTTTCCGGTCTGAGGCGAGACGTCGCTTCCAGCCTCAGTTCCTGTTTAGATTGTCTGTCTTGTCGTCTGTCTTGTTCCCGTCTGTTTTGTTGATGTTTTGTCGTCTGTCTTGTCTGTTTTGTCGTCTGTCTTGTTGGACTGACACTTGGAGTTCTCAGTATGGTTTATGTCCCGTTCTATCATTGCTGTCTGTGTTTTCTGTCTTGTCTGTTTGCATTGAAATGTGTTCCCCTTTCTGGGAGGTAAGCATAGCCCAGAGTGGGTTTGGGGGTTCCTCAGGAAATAGAAGCTCCCCACGCAGCCGCACCAATCTGTCCTCTTCAGGGCAGGGTTGAAAGCAAGGGCGTGGATGGGTGTTCTTGCCCCTGAGATGAGAATGTGTGAACCTGGCTTTGATTGAGAAAGATTCATGAGGTCATTTGCCTGAGCCCAAGCATGCCTGAGTCCGGCTGGGAAAAAGGTGATGATTAGGGCATGAGTGTGTGGGATTTTTCCTTCCCCCATTCCTTATATATGAGCCAGAACTGGGAAGTAAGGAAATGTGTGGCCCTTGAATTGGGCTTGCAAATGCAGGTCCTACCCAGTTTTCTGGACATACTCAATAAGCTTATCCTGTGTGAAAGCCCTGTGTGCAAGAGGGGTTATATAGAAACATTTTTATGAAGGTCCTTTCCTTGTCAGAAACTGGGAACACTGTTTTAATGTCTTTAATGTAAGTTTTCTGCCTCTTCCATCTGCCTTACAGCCCTCCGAGGTAGGAAGATTCCTTTTTTGTGAGATTAAATAATTGTGTTTGAAATTCCAGGAGGGGATGCTGATGGGCAGAGGAAAGATGGAAAAAATGTGTATACTGTTGGGAATACTCAGTAGGAATCCTGAAAAGGATTCCCAGTGAGATAAAGAAAGGGTTTTATATTGGGAACATATTGCTGGTAAAGTTTTGCAAATTTAAATTGTCATGTTTAGCAATTAGCCTGAGCAGTAGCAGGCTGGAATGCAACAGGGCAGAGTGTGAAATCAGGGGAAGACAGATTGCAGTTGACCATTAATAAATATTTCTGCCAAATTAGTTGGTTTTTCTTCCCCTGTTGAACTTGCAGCTGTTTGGAATGTGAGGTTTGAGTGAAAGGCAAAAAGATTTTTATTCTGGATGTTGTGTGTATGCCATGTGAGAATGATTCAGGGGGTGCATGGTGCTTGGAATGTGAGAGAATTTTAAGAGTCTTGGTAAATGGTGATTTGGCACTTTTTCTACTGAAAAAAAAAATATGGGAAGAAATGTGTAACTTTTGGAGTAAAGACAAGAAAAAGAAAAAAAAGAGAGAGGAACAGTCTACCTTGCTAAGAGCACTCCCATTAGTTAAAGAGACAGTAACTGCAGCCTCTTCTCTGGATTTGGTCCGGCCAACTGAATTCAGGAGGGATTTGTGCTGGAAAATTTGGATTTCTTGACTCTGTGGGCTTGGCTATTCCACAGAGCCAAGAAAAGGGGGGGATGCTCTGGCAGGAAGATACCACAAACACCACTTTGTGAGTACTGCAGAAGCAACACACACAGCCTCTGAGCATGTGCAGAGTTCAAAATACTTTGGGAAGTTTGAGCAGCTCCGCTTCCAGCCACAGATTGGAGGCGGGCTTGCACTAGTTCTCAAAGAAAGTCTTTGAGTCTCTAGAAAACTCTAAAAGGAAATCTTGGTGTCTTGAAAATAAAAGTTGTGTAACTGAGGTAAGGCATTTGAGTGTTCAGAGCTTGTATTGCCTCTGGAAAAATTCTGCCTGGGAAGGGTTGGGTTAAAACAAAGACCCTCAAGCACTCTCAATGAGTCACTAGGGTTTTTTTTAGGAAGGGAATCCTTCCAAAAAGCAACTGTTGTGAGCATGTGATTTGTGTCAGCCATCAAGAGTTTTCCCTCTCCAATAACTTCTATTTTTCTATGCAACATGGATCTGGGTCTTATATATGTGTGTGGGTATAAGTTCTGAATTCTGAGTATACCATTTTGTTATTTTGCTATGTTACAACTGAAGGATTGGGAGGAAATGGATGAAACTCTGGGGCTGTGTATGTGTATGCAGTAGGAAGAGTTTCTTTTCAAATCTATGAGGCTAATTTTCCCTTTGGTGTCCAACAGAAAGTTTTGTTTCCTTTTTCCTTTTGCAATGTGCCAAATATTAATGATAGTGATATTGCTGTTACTGATGTTACTGGTATTGATGCCCTTACAATAGCCTAATGTTTGTTGGGGACTGAGCCCATTTGCCAGCCCAAGGATGCCCAAGGATGTTCATCTAAATGCGCAAGCATTGATTGTTAGATGGAATGTGTGTTAGTTCAGGTTTGTTTGTGTTAACAATGGGTTGGTGCATTTTGCATCTATGTGGAAGAGTATCATGTCTGCAATAAGAAATTGTGTAAAACTGTTCTCATTGTCCAGAAGAAAGCACATTTCTCTTTAGCCTAGGCAAGCAACAGGTTCGTGCAACACCAGTTCAACAAAGGATTTATTTTGTGTGCATTTTTGCATTGGTTGGATTGATTTATAACTGGAAACAGCAGACCCCCCCCTTCTCTGAAAAACCACAAGGCTTGATTTATAGTTCGATTTATAGCTGAGTGGCAGCTAGCGTGCATTGGCAGCCATACTAAGCTGGAAAGGCTCCGGCCTGCAGCTGGATGGGCGACTGCATGTGGATGCTGACTGCTATGGATTACACACCCATCATCCTCCTTGGGATGACTGCCAGCAACTCCTGCAAGTTCTTTTTACTTTTTACTTCCGAGGAGCGCGATCGGATTCACCTTGAGGCTCGGAAGCAGGTTTTTGGCACAGATGGCCAACCCACCACTGACCCGGTTATTCTGGAAACGAGCCTCCCAGCCCAACGACCCAACTGGGATCCAAATACGATTGCTGGTGAAGGAGCTCTAACCAGGACCTCCAGATCATCGGCGCGCACACGGTAGAGACCCTTCTCTGAAGCCCACCTGATCGCTGGATCTCCAACGCTCGCGCCACGCAATATCAGGTATTACTGTTGGACCCTCCCCGGGTAACCTTCTCCAAGTCTCCAAGACGATGGTCCTAAATCCGGCCACCATCCTGCTGGGGGACGAACAGGAGGGCCCCGCCCCCGATTGCACTGAAGTCCTCGACACTATCACCGGCACCTGACCAGATCTGTCCGATGTCCCGCTAAGCCCGCCGGACCACAGCCTATTTACAGATGGGAGCAGTTTCGTCAAGGACGGAGTCTGGTATGCGGGAGCAGCGGTGGTCACCAGATCTGAGGTAATATGGGCCCAGTCACTGGGACACGGCACGTCAGCCCAAAGGGAGCAGCTCATCGCCCTAGCGCAAGCCCCCCGGTGGGGGAAGGGGAAGACTCTTAACATTTACACGGACAGCCGGGACGCCTTCGCCACGGCTCACGTCCACGGGGCGTTGTACCGGGAAAGGGGACTGTTGACCTCTGGGAGGAAGGAAATAATTTTGCTGACAAAACTGCCAGAGAGGCGGCCCTAAGACCACCCCCTCTGCTCCCACGCCTGGCGGAGGAGACGCGCGCCGAGTTGTCTAACCACAACTTGCTTGAGTCCTTGCAGGCCCTCGATCGCGTCCGGCACGATATTCGCCGACAGGTTCGGTCCAACATGGGCAAGACTACTGAGGCTCCGGACCCCGCGGCCGACCATCCCCCACGCAAAAACCCGGGAGATTGGGTCTGGCTAAAGAACTTTCACCCTGTCACTCTAGGTGCCCGGTGGCTAGGACCCTTCCAGGTGATCCTCTCCACTCCTACAGTGGTAAGACTGGCCGAAAAACCCCACTGGTTCCACGTGACACAGATAAAGCCTGCTTCGCCAGTCCTCTCGGAACAATGGACGGTGCACCAAACCGGAGACCCTCTGCGAGTCAAGTTAAAAAGGGGTCTCCTCCCAGCAGCCCTCCTGATTCTTCTCGCCCGCCCAGTAGGCTGTCCCCTCCCAAATCCACACCAGCACTTACCACGGAATGGACCTTGCAGACTGATTGGCAGACCTTCCCGCCAGTGGCAACCGTCCTGACTCACACCCACGATACCTCCCCGGACTTCTGCATAGATCTCTGCCAACTACTTCCGCCCGGGTGGACTCACCCAGGCCTCTTCTCGGTGCATACGGTTGGAAGGGACTGCCTGATCTGGGGGTATGGATGCGGAACTGATACCTTGGAAAGGGGACTGTCGCAGGAGCAGTATTAAACGGGTTATCTTACAACCCTGGGGCCCGGTGGGACCTAACCAGGCTCTCCCTCGCCCTCAGACCCCCACTCACCGCATCCCTGACGCTCACACACAGCGTGCTCCGGTCCGGGCTGCTAGCCGACCCTCATCCAGCCGCTCATTTACACTAGTGTCCGCAGTTTTTGAAGTCCTCAACGGGACCAACCCAAACATTACATAACATTGGTTATGCCTGAGTCCTCAGCCGCCTTTTTACACGGGAGTGGGAATAAATGTGTCCTTTTCTGTCCTTGCTAAGATCTTCTACTCCGAAAATTACGGGAGCGCCTGCCCGTGGGGGGGCTCCACCCCTCTATAACATTAGAGGAGTCCTCAGGTCAAGGGACCTGTGTCACGGGCCCTGTGATGATCCACGATGCGCTGCTACTCCTGACCCCCACAGCACGCCCCTACCTCCTGGCAGCCCCGAATGGTACTCTTTTTGCTTGCTGATCCAGCCTCACCCCGTGCAGCTTATGTGCTGCCTTGGATGAAAAATGCTGCTTTTATGCACATCATTCAGGCATCATCCGTAACAGTCTAGACCTAGTCAAAGCCTGCCTGGAGGACCGGGAAAGGCGCCGCCAGGAGGGTTCCAACTGGTATCAGCGCCTCTTCAACTGGTCCCCCTGGCTGACCAGTCCGCTGTCTTCCCTTGCTGGACCTCTTTTAGGGTTATTTTTCTTTATTTTCGGCCCCCTCCTGCTCCGTTGGGTTACCCGCCTTGTCCAGCAGCGCATTGACAATACTGGCACTTCATGCCAGGTCTCACCTGGGCCAGGGTGCTAGTTACAAGCACCATCCACTAGCAGCTCGATGATTCGATGATTCGATTCCCCAAGAAGACCAGTAGGGAATGTTGTAACCCCCCTCACAATCGAACATGCAGCTAGGGCATGGCTCGTCACAGGTAAGAAGCATGATCAGAGTGTCCTGTTCGCGTAAGAACAAGAACCCCAACGAATGTGCACGCTACGCAAGGCTGACCACAAAGCAGCCTTTGTTGCTATGCTCCAGCATAACGTCATGCCCTTGTACCCACGCTTGCTTGCTTTAGCATAAAAAATGTGTGCAAATGTAGCTCAGTGGATTTCCCCTATTGTTCGCTGTTATTCAAGCACCTGCATAGCCGTCCGTGTAAAAGAGTATAAAAATCCTGCCTTCGATCTCCTCAGCACCACACTCTCACGAGTGCATGGTCCCTGCCGGCAGGTAAGTAAATCTCTCGGTAATTCCAACCAGTCTCTGGTCTCGTCTGTAAAATCGCCCCACAACACCTATGATTTTCATAGCTGTTTAGGAACAGGGATTGTAGTAAGTTTAAGTTGCATGAAAATTTCACTCTTGTACACAACTTTTCAAGGTGCAAAAGCCTTGCTTCTTTTGCATCTGGCTACCCAGATGCAAGTCAGTCAACCATGTCCTCATCCATCATTCATTCATTCATTGTTTCCACATGAGTATCTATGCCCACTCCTCTGTCGCTCAATATTTTATGGTTATTTAGCATACTTATGTCTTCATTGAGCTGCTCTGGGCTGCTTCCCCCAACATGAGTGCCTTTTTGTGTACTTAAAAATTTCAGGGTTACTTCAAGCCTGCCAATACATGCTTCTTATAAGTAAATGATGCAGTTTTGGCTCTCACTACCTGATCATTTGAAATAGAATAAATTATTATGATTATTCCTTACTTTCAGATAGATGCCTAAGTACAGTTCTGAACCTGCTAATAATTAGAAGGACAGCTATAGCAAATTAATCAGAAAGCACAGTACTCTAAAGGGTGGGAGATTTTCTCATTCAGTGCATTTTTATAAAATGCAAACATTCTGCATTATTTAATAGTGACAGTTTTAAAGAAAGAAATCGGGGGGGGGGGGTTTTGCAAATGATTAAAATGTATTTCCCATTCTTAGATGCTCAGATCTTGCCATATCTGCCTGTGTATTAACATCAGGGTTTTAAATTTATTCTCACACATTAACATGCAGGACTAAACTATGGTGCACTTTTGTAATTTAAAGTAAGTATGAGATGGACTCCTGAAACCAGTAATCAGGAGCCTCACAGAACTTTTATGTCTAGACCAAGAAGGGATGTTAAACTAAGAGATGCCACCCCCACCCCATCTGAGCACATCTTTGGCTGTCCTCAGACCACTCTTTTGTACACAGTGCAACTCACCTTAGTTCTATAGAATAGCCTGACATCTTCTCTAATATCGCATTTTACATGCTTCTCCAAACTGCTGCAGAGTTTCAACAGCCATGCCTAAATGGAAGGAAACATGTTAATTTCATAACTTTAGTTATTTTTCCCAGACAAAAAAGCATAAAAGGCATGACATTTCAAATTGAAATATTCCCTTAAAATATTTTAGCTACTTTTTACCCTTTGATTTACCAAGCATTTTATAAAACTATTGTAATTGAATTACTCTTCAATTTATACACATCCTTAAGGTGCCTTACAAACTGAAATTTAAGAGTAAACATCCTAAAAAGTTAACATAAGAAGACTACCAAGACAGCTCAAAATAAAATCCAGCAAAGCCATTTAAAGGGTCCAGCTTGGAACCAAGGCACAGAAGTAGCAGATGAAAGAAGTACTTCCATAAAACTATTTAGTATTTACTAATTCTATTTTTATTTTGGTTTTAATCCTGTTAATTTATTTACTTATTTTATTGCTGCTATAATTGGTTTTTGTAGTAAATGTTATATTTGAACTGTTTTATATTGTTAAATTTTAATATGTTGCAAGCCACCCAGGTACCATATGACTAGTGCAGCAGCATATGAAGGAAGGAAGGAAGGATAGGATCAAAGCCCACAAAGTAACTGTTAATGAAAAACTTGGGGAAAATAGGATACTCTTGCATAATGCATAAATGACAAAAACAGTGAAGCCAAATAACCTAGGGAGAGTGATCCAAAGGGAGGGTGCCAACTGCAGGAAAGTCGATTCCTTGAGTAGCCACCTGTCTAACTTGTGAAGGCAGTAAGACCCAGAAAAGCCCACAGCAGCTGACCTTAGCAAGCAGGTTCCTATGGGAAGACGCAATCATTTGGATAATTTTGGGTAGGAGTGGGAAATCTGTGGCTCCCCAAATGTTGTTGGACTGCATTTCTCATAATCCTAGATCAGTGACCATGCTGGCTACAGTGAATGGGAGTTGGGAGTCCAACCTCTATGCTTTATGGTATGGATCAGCACTCTGAATTATTGAAGGCACTTCATACTATGGAAGCTACTTAAGTCTTCACAAGGAAAGCTGAATCTCGGAAAATCTCTAAGTCACAAACCTTTTCTTTAAACTGAGAATATAACCCTAACCAGAAATGGTTGACTGCCTCCAAGATGTAGTATATTTCATAGCACATGTGTTTTCATGCAAAATTTTCGTCATATGCCATCTAGGAATTTGAACCAATCACTTACCCTATGACTGCAGTCTATAACCTCAGCATTGGTAGCTTCCCTGACCAGATGAAGAAGCACGTAGATCAAATAATACACCTAGAAAATGAACAGAACCTGTAAGTACAAAGCTTAATAGACTGAGAGCAGCCAAATTCATGGGTGGGATAACCAATCAGTTTTCTTATGATACATAGTTTAATTCTTGTAGAACCTCTATGAAAAAACACAGTTTAGAAGTATCTCAGAACATTTACCTGAACATGTTATTGAAATACCACCTAACTCAAGAATAAGTACCAATGCAAGATGATCACATATGGCATTTGTAGTCTTATGTCTTGCCCTTTTAACTACTCACAAATCACAGTAAGAGCTGGTTCATACCCAGTAGACATGTGGGGCATGTAGCTGCTTTAGCATGAGCCAGTTATATACAAAAGTGTCTATGAAAACAGGACACTTCATCCACCCTTTTCCACAAACAAGATGCTTTTTTATGCAGAGAGGCCAGCTTGCCCTGCAGGGATTGTGGCAGCATTTGCATCACACTAATTCCACCCTGCAAATAAACTACACAGGGTGGGTTGTTTGTGAAACAATCTGATGAATATAATTTTTTCCTGATGACTAAACAACAAGGATCAGTTACCTAAGGTTGTATCAGAGAGGCACAAGAAGGTCAAAAATATAAAATAAACCTCTGTTAAGAAGGTCAGAATTTGTAAAGATAAGCCTGGAGAAAGATGTTTTGACAGGGAAGGAAGTGTAGATCAAGATAAGTATTTAGAAAAGTAACTGAATGTTTCCTGCTATGTTTTCTGTTACTAATCATTGCAAAAAAGCTAAATGTACATATTTGCTGGTGGTCTGGAATGGAGACAGGCTCACTATATATTGCTAGCATCCACCTACAATAAAGATGATTTTTAAATGTAAAACGACTTGCTGGTGCTGCCCGTCTCTCTCACAGTCAGACAACAAACAAGAGGGACTGTTTTCATCCTCAACAAATCTATGGTATGCCTGAGAGGCGAGCAGGCTCACCATGGCTTGTTCACCTGTTTGTGTTTTGTTGCAGAACCCATCTTGTCTTTCCAACCTCACTCCAATCACTATCCATTTTTGTTCTCTGCAGTTTTTTGAGTCTCAAACAATCAGGGGGATTTTAATATTTTCAGCCCAGAAAATTAAACATCCACACATATGGGTTCTGTGCCTGTGTGCAGCCTGTTGTCTGGACGCTTCTACAGCTTAGCATTTGGGTTGGGCAGGAGCCTCTCCTCTTCCTGATCCAGGGTTACACAAGAGGGGATCCCACCCATTCCTTCAGTTCCATTGAGACTGCCATAGGCCTGAGCACTGAGGAAGGAATGTTGTGCCAACCCAGTCCAGCACCTGTGTCCAGATACTAATTGCGCAGTCCTATACTGAGCCAGATGAAGTCTCCAAATAATCTTCAAAGGCAGCCCCACACAGCATGCGTTACAGTGAACTAACCTGGATATTAGCAGTGTATGAGTGACTGTGGCCAGGATCTGACTATCCAGGTAGGAACGAAGTGGGTATATATCATATCTTTAATATGACTTTGGAAAGTAAGCAAGAAATAATCAGCTTCTTCTTTGTAGTGGTTTAACAAGTCACAGCTTTCAATCATAAAATAAACCACACAAAGCAGTCCTGATTCAATAAATTAAAAGGAAATATGGGGTACTTCCAAAAAAGGTGTTTTCTATGCAATCTTTGTTTTATTTATGGAGTTTCATGGTAGGTGGGTCCTGATGGCATCTTCTATTTTATGACAATTCCGTATTTTCTCACCACTGCTTCCATCCCCTTTTTGACTAAAGAAAATTAATTAGGTGGAGATGGAATAGCTGTGCAATGCATTTTGACTGGTACTGCTAGGAGCCATCTGTTGGGAATCACTCTTAGCCATGAGCTAAGTGAGACTGCTATGAGTCTACATATTGTCATCATGTGGCCAAAAGCAGGCTAGATATTACAAGATGTTAAATGGGGGGAGACACTAGAAGATTTCCCTTTTACTGCTCTACAGGAAGCAGAAAGATTCATAACTGTGCATTCATAAATCTAGTTATCTACCTGTATTCAGAGCTAGTGTTCTATTAACATGATCTTTTTAGAGGACACTGCCGTAAGAGATATTTTGAGGAGAGACGCATAGAGCTAAGATACAATATCTGAATTTCACTTGTAGGACTACTAGATCTTGGATCCACAGAACTTAAAAGTAGGGCAGGTTTTAAGCAGGGTCTAATCCATGGAAGAAAGGAACTGAATTGAGCCCCAAGCTCTTCCCTAATAATCAGCAGCATCTGATTGGCTAGGATAAGCCATATGATCTCTCCCCTACAAAACCTTCCCTCATCTGCTGTGGTTAAAGCAATCAGAGAACCTTTAACATATATCAAAACATTTAAGTCTTTCCTTCACACCTCACCTCACAAAAAGGGACCCTTAACACAGTACATAGAAGAAATATAAAATACATTATTGATAATCACAATAACCATCAAAAAAGATTAAACAAAACAATTATATAGACTTTTTTGTTTGTTCAGAACTTGTATTTGACCTTACCTGGGGTTCAGAGAGTCTCTTTAACAGATTTGAAGGTTTCATCTTCACTAGATTCTTACACAGAAGTGACATCTATTTAATCCCAGGGAGAAAAATAGATTAGAGAAGAGTAGCTTACTTGCTGAATATTAGCAACACTATCTTAAACCATTTTAAGTATACCAAGAGAAATGTTGGTCTCACAGGGTCTCACTATCTTAAACCATTTTAAGTATACCAAGAGAAATCAGGGTCTCACAAAACTTTGTGCAGCCTCTGAAAAATCTGTTTGTCTCAGAGGCTTTCAGTGTGATTCTGAGAATTCTCAAGATTCTCATGTTTAATTTAATTTACATCACAATTAAATTAAAGGAACCAAAAAGCAATCCTTTTTATGGAGAACAGCATGCATCAGCAAGAAAGCAGGAGATAAAACTAACAGCAAGTAAAGTCAAGTATGAGTGACAGCTCTGGGTTGTAATTCAAGTAGGTTAGATGCATAAGGCTTTGGATTTATCTGGAAGTGTGTGTGCCGGCACACACGCACACACACATGTGTGGGTATAATAACATTCCCACACAACAATACAGTTATTTAGAAATGTGCAACTGAAAATAGAGGACTAGAGAATAGTGATCAGAAACAGGAGAGCAGCAGCAATGAGGAGATGAACAGCAAGAACAGCCAAGAGCACTGAAAAACTCTCTCAGAATTTTGATAGGCTCCTCTGAAGAGGAAAAGGAAGAACACATGGACACATTTTGCCACCAAGTCTCTGTTTTGTCTGGTGGTTCCAAAATGTGCCTCTCAGATATGAAACCAAACACTTCGCTCCTGGACAAACTGTGTTTTCATTTATAAATTATACAATAGCGATAACTATAGTCCTAGGATTTACAATATGAAATGAGAAGATAAATAAATCAAGAGTGCTTCCAGATAAAACTTTTGTTGTATAAATGTGGAATTTGATGGAGTGTCCAGACAATGACTTAGTTCACATCATCACTGTGGTCCACTGTGGACTCTTTAAACCACAGTGAGTTGCAGTGCCCATAGGCTCCAAGTAGCCAATTCAGGCTTCTTGATCCCAGCTTCTAATGTTGTCCAAAGCCAGCACAACTGCTGGCAACTTTGGATGACATGAGAAGCCACACTCAGCAAATGTAAAAATACATAGTGTTTTTAATAAGCCATTGTGACTTATTGACTTGTATGAACCGTTCCAATGTTACTTTCCATTTGTAGCCCTCCTGTATTTTCTACTACTTCTTTTCCATTACCACGAATAGCCAGCGACACAATGCTTTTTGATTGATTACACTAGGAACTATCCATCTGGAAGCACCCTAAGTGAACAGACTTAATTCTGGGAAGCCAATTTTTTCAATAAAGAAGTGTATACTACACCTGCTGATCATGGCTACTGGGTATGCTCTCATGGTTTTTAAGAAGCTTTGAGATTATTACCAAGCTAAGATGTCTTCTAACTTGTCTGCAAAAGTAAAGTACAGGTCAACATGCTATGCTACAGTCTTGTGCTTTCTGTTGGTATTCTGAAATTATGCACATAGTGTATTAATACAAAGGCCTACCTTCCACGGGTAATCCAATTGGGGACAAACTGAACCAGCCACAACAGATTGTGATGATGGTTGGACAAGCAGCTTATTGCCACACATAACTCAGCCATCTTTTTAAAAGGAAAGGAAACATTTGTTAGTAGAATACAAGTGCATTTGCTAAAGCCAAATATAAAATGTTTCAAGGAATCAATGTTTTTTCTTTAAAAATGGTATTCCAACTTATGAGCATTTCATAAAATGCTATGGAACAGAATGGTTTACTCTTATACATGCTTCTACGGAGATAAAAATTTATCATTATTTATCATAGTTACCAGCAAATAATATTTCCTATTAATGCATTCAATATACCTAGAATTTACCAGTAAATGGCTTGATTTTTAAGTGCTATATTTCTTTAGTACTTAAAATTTCTGTTCTGGCAAAGCTTCAATTCCACAAAACATGGCCAAATACATTGTTAAAGAAAGACTTTTAATTGATTCCAGGGGTGCAGTGACATTCCAGTTTACATGGATTACACTTAATTATAAACATTACCTTTGTATCCCACTCTCTAATGTTTTCCAACAGTTTTATAACAAGGCACTCCAAGTCCACTAATGGAAATTGTTTCAGCTCTTTTTCCAAGCTCAGTTTAAATAGCAGCAGTAACAACAGAAATATATCTTCATCTGTGTAGCCATCTGGGCATATGCTTATGCACAGTTGTAGAAACTTAACAAGGGACAGAAAAGGAAAGTAATAGTCAGAAGATGTTTAGCAATATTAGTGACTTCAACCCTATATTGTGCAAGTGCAATTTTTTTCTTCAGTCTGAACTGGCACCATTTCTTTCTTAGTCAAAGATTGAGACCTAGTCAACTTCTTGAAGTCAACTTCTGTTTATCACTAATAGAGTAGATCTGAATATTCAATGGATGGAGGGGATTTTTTAAAGTGTTGGTGATCAAGAGTTGCTTCCAGCTTATTATTCTGTTCACAGTAAATACTATTCACAGGGAATCTTATCTGTGATAACCAGATAATATATACATATCTGATTCCATACCACAAGCAGAATAAACACCTTGAGAAAGATATAACTTATGTCAAGCCGCATTGATTTCATGTAAACTAAGCATGGGACTGTTATTTTCACATTGAAAACAATGGAGCACAATATTGTTCAATGTTGGGTCAGACTGTGCTTCCTATTTTAAGTACCCGAAAAAGATAAATTGCTGATAGTTATTTATTTCATTACCCAAACATTTTGCTATACATCTCAAACTACTTGCATATGAGAATTTTGGTTATCACCAGCAATCATGTAAAATGCCAGAAGTACTGTTATGCACAACACATAGGACTTTTCAAAATAGAAAGACCAGACGTAGCCTCACCTTAGCCATGTTGCAAAGACTGGTGTCTATTAGAAGGAAGAAAGGAGTTGAATCTCCAAGGATATCTCCACTTTGTTGTTTCATCACCGTTTCACTCATTTCAGACCTAATGCAAAATGGATCCTCTTTTCCATTTACTTTATTACCATACAACAAGACCAGTTCTGTTTAAGATAGTTCTGCTTAGTCATATGTGTAGGCCATTTTAAAGTTTAGACAGAATATCCTATTATATGAGTCTGCATCTCAAAGTCTCAAGATAGAAGAAATTACAGTGTCATAGAACAAGGACTATAAAATGAACCGTAAATCTTTACATTAGGTCAACTAAATTATACCAGTTTTTGGTAGTAGTCCAATGCTATTTTGGCCAAAGACACAGTGCAAGTCAACCCTGATTCAAATGTATTAGGGGAAAGGAGGTTATCACTGATGTGAGCTGCACTGATATCAGTTCAGTTAGGTTACTTCAACTCCCACATTAATGTCAGCCAGAAGAAAGAAACTTCCTGTAAAAACATAATGGGCCACAGGAAGTGAGCACTCAAGCCCTGCTCCTTGACACTTTCATATACTCTATGCTGGAGTAGGGGCCAAGAAGTAGCACACCTCAAATGCCAGAGAAGTCACAACAACAAATGTTTCTATGGTACTCTATAACAAATCTGGGGAAAATACACTGAAAAAAGAGCTATTATATTAGAAACGTACATAATGTCATCTTCAGTAAAACTGGGTTGAAAATTCTGCAGTGGAAACAATGCACAGAAGGGAGCACCCAGGTTGACTAGCACAGCTGCTATATCAAATAGTGATGGGATCCATGGCCTTGGGTGGTCATTGTCAGCTGAAGCTGCAGAGAGAGCGCATTTAAGAATGTATCTTCAAAGCACAAGAATTTAGAATGTGAACATAAGGTAGATATAAGTTCTGCCTTCAAGTAACTAACTTCAAGTAACCAGTGGAAACTCAAGAGAAATGGAGATAAATGTGGTATGAGACTAGCACGTGTTTTGGGTCACAGCAATTCTACTTTCTTTTCCCACCCTCTTATAGGACAGTGACCTTCAGAGGAACAAATATGCAGTCAACATGATTACTCTGAAAAAGAACGCAGAAAATAAGTGCACACGTGTTCCTACAGAAAAGATCCAGAACAACTTACATAGTTTGTATGTGTGAAAAGCCTCATAGTAATTTGTTTCTCATCTATTACTTAAATGACATTTAAAACACCAAAATATACAAGTTTGTTCAGCATTAGAATACTTGCCCTTAACATTGAATTCTATTGTTTAAGCCATGGGTCCTCAAACTACGGCCTGGGGGCCGGATCTGGCCCGCCATGCCCGTCTGGACCTGTCATGCACCCATGTGCATGCCTGTGACTGCCCACCTCGCCCCACACGTGGGAGGCAGCGGGTTGCGCACTCATAGAAAACGATCTCCAAGCAAGCAAGCAAGCCGCTGCCTCGTGCGCCTGCCTCGCGGCACATGCCCACCCCCGCCTTGCCGCACGGGCACCTGCACACGCTGCCTCCACCCCCTCGCCAGCCCAGGCGCAGCACCAGGCACCACCTTTCCGGCCTGCACCCAGCAACAGCAGCTTTCAACTGGCCCCCTGGGGAAAAAGTTTGAGGACCCCTGGTCTAAGCTAATTAAACAAAAATAAGCTAATTAAACAAAACTAATTTCAATGATGGAATTGAGAAGATTAATGTAAATGAGAAAATTATTAAAGTGTTTTAACTCCAATTTTCACAGATGACATCATCTCTTAAATTTAAGCTCTAGAATACTCACCATGTTCAACTGTTAAAGTCATCAACCCATCCAAAATCTTCCTTGAAACTGAGCTGTCTGGATGAATTGACATCATCTGTTTTTTGGGGGAAAAAGCTACATTAAGGAAACTGAAGGGAATTGTTTATATATCCAGTTAGTGTTTCCATATATCCAGGATCTTTTATTGATATATAAAACTACTGAAATAGTTTAATGCACCAGAGTTCTGAAGCACCCTAACTAGACTAATAAATAGAAAGCTCACCAATTCAAGTCAGAGTAACCACTGCTGCTCTGCTTTTAGTCTCTTAAGATGGAATTGACTAATTTACACAAGCACATTGGCTAAAGCTGCTTTTGGTACCTGACTAGAAGAATGTAAACTTCCTGAGACAATAGGATAATTCAAGAAAAAAGATTCTAGCCTCTGATAATTTGTTCATATTATTCTGATAAGCTATTTATCAAAATATGACAATTCAACACGTAACAATATTGGTCAAAAATGGAAATCTGTACATATTTCTTAGATTTGGTAAGAGATCAAGTTCTAGGGAACCACAGTGGGGTTAGATAGGCACTCTAGAAAACTAAACCAGTTAAAGCTCACAACTAGTATGACTCAGGGTTAACCGTGCCACTATTCCAATACATCAAATAAGACATATCTTACCTGAAACATCCATTTTAAAATGGGGACAGGACAAGGAGAACTATGGTAAGCTGACTTAAGTAACCCTTCAATGATTACAAATAGCTGCTGCGTTATTCCTGATCTGCAAAAAGAATCACCAACAATCACTTAGTGTTTTCAAAGTTTGTCCATCAACTTGAAATTCAGAAGGTAGTATCCAATCTTAGTTCTACATACAGAAATCCAATTGAAATGAATGAGACTTAACTTGATCAAAACTGACTTAACACTCATTCCTTTATATTCTTCATAGGGTGAACATTGCATACCACTCAGAGATTCACAAATCTGGGCTGTGAACAGTAAAAACTATCAAAAACCAGGAGACAGAAATGGTATTAGTAAATGCTGTTGAAATGCATTTTAGCATCCTCCATGGAGGACATATGAAAGAGCTGGGCTCAACTATTACTCAGCAAGTCTCATTGTCTTTGCCAAGAGATTGTTCTATGAGATAGTGGAAAATCTAGAGCACTGTCTCAGATAAGCCAGATGCATTCTTACCCAAGAAGATATTTTTCAATGGGATTTTGGGGGTGAAATCCAGAATTCCTCAAATCAAGGTTATGCTGATTGAAGATCTTCCCAGCATGTATTAGTTGAAATATATTTTCGCCTGGATGCTGGTCAGGAATGGTATCACTGATTATTGAAAATCTCTCCAAAAATGCTCTGTAACACAAAATTATATCTTCAATGTATATACTAAAGAGTTTAAGGAACAGTTATTCAAGACATTTGTCCACCTCAGTTTAATTGTCCAAATGATCACCTAAATGACATATAAGATTATAGGTCGCATACAGCCTTCATCCTTTCTCCATGCTTCCCTAAGCACCTCTTCAAGAATCTCCTGTGGCTTAATCAAGCTGCCGTTGTGCGGAAAAGAATGGCTAGCTAGGAGGCAGTGACAGTGTCGTCTAAAGGAATGTTGTCCTTGGTGCCACATTCTGTGGTCAATGCCGTACTGGCTGGGTTCAGACAATGGAAACCTACACTCAAGGGTGAGTATTGGTTGAGTGTGTGTTGTTGTTTAAACATGGGTTATCATGCTGCCTGAACCCAGTTGCAAGAACAAACATGAAGAAACCCCATGGTTTGTTGTTGGGGTGTGAATGGTGGGTTGGTCATAGGTAACAAACCATGGTTTATTAACATGGTTAGGCTCAGACAACATGATAATCCTCATTTCAACAACAACTTTAATATGGTGTTGTCATGAATGCAGCCACTGTCCCCTTGCCCACAAAGTGTGTGGTGTGTGTGAGTGCATGCACACATTGGTGTGCAGGTATGATCCCCAACCTGAGGTCTTCACAGCTGAAATCGTTGTGCACCCCTGGTTTAGGTCAATCATCTCCAAAAAGCGGTGGCTTCAATTACAGCTGCCAGTTTGAACCACACCATTACCTAACACCATAGTTGTGAGTCAACTATATACAGGACATAGGGTATGAATGAAAATGGATCCAAACAGATGTCATTAAAAGAAATAGTCAGAAATTTAGAAAAAGGGGTCAAACATTATTTCATTGAACATAATCAGATGGAAAAGAAAAGAAACTGTTCTCCTTCTAATAACCTTTGTTCAGCAGATAGTTTCCCATCATCAGGTTGTTTTTCAGGCAGAGAATTTATTTCAGCTCCCCATTCAAGTTGCTGTAGCTGTTGCTCTAGTTCATCCGCCCTGCAATTGAGATAAGGGTGCTTAAGAAGAGTCTTAGTTTCTGGTTGCAACAGCACTCTGTAGAGCAGCTTTTTGAACATTTCCCCTTGCAAAAAGGCTAGTCTGATATGTCTGTCAGCTACAAGAATCTGACAAAGCAGATCACTAAATTTAATTGGCAGATACTTTTTCCTCTTTTACAAAGCAATTTCAAGAAGAATCAGAAGCACCATATGCATTCTCTGTACACATTCTGCAATACAATAAGCAATGCTTCTGGGGGCAGTGATACAACCTAACCAACAACCTGGAATTAAAAGTAATTACCTAAACAAAGTAAATGGCAAATTGCATTGACACCACCCATGTAACTTGACCATGTAGAGGAATATCCTAGACACTCCTTCTAATCTATTTTAAATTACACATTAACCTGTTTTAGAGAATGGCAATCAACTAGTTCTGTACTGTCACAAAAAAGTAACATAGTACTATGATAGCAGCAAAAGCAATTCATTTCTAGCTTTAAAGAGACTTTTAAATTTATTTATTTATTTATTTATTTATTTATTATTTATTTATTAAAACTTTTTTTATGCCGCCCCATTCGCCGAAGCCTCGGGGCGGCTCACATCAAATTAGAAGAGATCCAATTCAATGTTGATTTTTTTCCTACTGGAAGCAGCAAATCAAAGTAGTCCTGGCTTTGAAAGGCAGAACAGTCCCTGAGATAGCTCTGCTACAATGCTAAAGAGAGCATGGTAAAGAGGATGAAGGAGAGATCATGTGTGGAGGACAACTGACCTTCAAAGAACCTCATGTAAAATGCAAATAGTTATTCTTCCCATCAAGAGACCAGTAGGAAATCTATTACATTAAGCAGGCTTCTAGATTAAATCAATTATGATCTTTCCTAAGTAATATAACAGTATTGCAAACTTAAATGTTGACAGGTAAAACTACTAAAAAGACTATGCCCAAGTTAAGGCAGAGACTTTGCAGAAAGCAAGACAGTCAACTGAGTTTCAACTTACTAATCCTATTGCTCTCTAAGGAACCTCTAATTGGAAGATATTACTGGAGGAGAGTAATAATTTTTTTTAGCTGTTAGGGCTGCACATCCTTCATCATTATGTTTATGGAAGGTGATTCTCAACAGCATTAATGACGATAGAAAACAAAGACGTGCATTACCTTCTGAACTCCTCCTTCTCCTTCAAAAGATCCTCCATGTGATTCATATAAGAGACCTGAAAAGATTTTGAAAGCAGAAGAAAAGGCAGTGTTTGAAAATAACTGCATTTTTAACTTTCTATTAGCAACCACTAGACTAGAAGTACTAAGTCACGGCTTTGGTTTGGCTTGGGTACATTTTTACAATACATAAATACGTTTGAAAAAAATAATTACAGTTGCTGCCATGGCTTGTTGTGTCACCCAAACAAAGGAAGTGTGACTTGCTGGGCTGGGGGTGGCATCAATCCTAAAATTACCCAGCAACAGGCCATGTGTTTTTTGAGTGCTGTTGCCCTTCTAGGAGGTTGGCAAGCTGCATCTGGATGGGAAATAAAGCCAATTATTGCATGGACCAGAAATTAAATAAGCTTCATTGACTATCTGAACCAGGCCAGTGGGAGTAGCTGCAGTGAAAGCAGTTGAGAAGACCACAGACTCTGGTAATGATTAGGTGATTTGAAGGAGAGAGCAGTGGACTGTCCTTAATGCTCTCATGCTCTCTTATGATGATTTAGAAAAATGACACTATATATGTCTACCACTGAATTCAATGGTACTTACTCCAATGCAAGTGTATCTAGGAACTGCAGCCTTACTGTAATTTAGATGTTAGATCAAAGCCAATTCAAAACTTTTGCAATAATCTTTATTAAAATGCTTTAAAGTATGTTGAGATGGGACAAATTATTAGATTTGTAGGCATAAATATATGAACTTCCTAGGAATAGTGACCTGAAAAACATAATTTTGATTTTAAACTTGACCAGCAATGTATTCATTTGAGTTGCCAAATCCAGTTTGACTTAAATGAACACAAGACATACTGTTAAGTAATTCTAGAAGCACTGGGGGAAAAAACCTGGACAATTTTCTGAAATGTATTACCTTGGATCAATACTCTGTTTCAGGCAATCATGCAACTTAATTAGACTAACCTTCAGGAGGAAGAGTGTAAAGCCTCTTTGGAAAGTGGGGTGGGGAAAACCCCCTCTGCCAGCCCTGGCAGTAACCCAGGATATTTTCTATCACCACACGTAATATTGATCTTCATAAACCATCACCAGTTTGACAGCAATATAGTGATGCAACTCAAATTCATTATCTCAGGCCAATAAAGTCTACTTTATCAACCTAAAAAAACCCCTTTTTGCCTGCATGCCCATTCCTTGCCTTTCCCCTCCCCATTTGCTTAATATCTTTGCAAGTACAAATTACACCACTTTCTTTAGTTTTTTGGCATAGAAAACTAGGGTTTAAACAAACCAGGTTAAATGTACTGAAACCAGGTACATAATGGGAGGAAAGGTGGAAAAGCAAGCACACAGGCACAAGGCTTGTTCTTCAGACTGAAAAACTATCTTTATTGGCCCAAGATGGTTGCACCTCAATAGTTTAACTTTCTAAACTAAGGTGGTATTTTAGCCACTTACAGCAATATTATGTGATGCAATCATGGTGTCTGTCATATCATCCTCATCACTTCTTTGTTCTGACCTTTTTGCAGATGCCCTGATACTTTGGGCCAAGATCTCTTCCAATGTCATAAGTTCATCATCGCTGCTGTCCAAATCAGAGTCAGAAGTCCCATCCTCACAAACAGAAAGGCTCCCTAGCTTGCTATTCAACGTATCTGTCTTTGGATTGGAAACTCCCTTATTCAACTCATTTAAGTTGCATGATGATCTAGGGATGGGCACAGGATCACAAGCATCTGATGACCGAATATTATTATCTGTCAATGAGGGCACATGCAACACAGCACTTCTTTGGGAAGGAACAGTAGAGACATTTTCACGAGTTTCTTCTGCTTTCTCTTTTAACAAACTCTTGTATGATGTTGGGGGAAGTGGGGAGTTATCAGACCTACAAAATGGAGGGTCTCTCTTATGAACCTTCCTTTCCAGTGCTTTGAGTAAGTTAGTACTCTGAATATGTGAACTTAGCTCTTTTGACTGCTTGGAAATCAACAGGTTTTCTTGAGATGCAATTAATTCATTGCCAAAAGTTTTGAAACCAACAACTTCTTGAGAAAACTTCTGTGACTGACTCTCTTTGACATCTGCAGTTTGAATCTGCTTATTTGTGTTTGTAATATAGTCATAAGCACTGTCTCCATTTTCTTCAACATCAAGAAATTCTACTGAAACAGGCAAGTCCTTGTTTGATGGATTCATAACATCTTGTTGCACATTAGATAACATTTGATCCTTCACGTAGTCAGAATTATCCTTTTCCAGTGAACTACTAAAATTGTGTTTCTCTGTCGGCTTCTGTGAACTTTTCATATCCATTTTCAAAGAGATTCTTTTCCGTTTTCCAGAAAATTCTTTATGTTTGGATATTCCAGAGGTATTTGAGGGGTTAAGGTGAGCTGATGGGCAGGACTGGCTTTGCTTCATAATACTTTTATCAGAGACACATCCTAAAGAAAACAGAAATTTTGAAACTTCTACTGAAAGCAACTCAATTGCAAAATGAAAATCAATTAAAATTTGTACACAAGGCAAACCACTAAAGGGACAGTGGTATTCAGTGAAAAAATTATGTTATTCCTTCCTTTCAAGAGAAAGTCAACATTATAGAACATTGCAAGGGACTATTTCTGTGACAAGTATAGCTGATGAGGAGTCTCCATCCTTAGCTCCCAATACCTCCATATCCACTTTGGCAGAACACAAAGTTTTCTCTTTGGACTGACACATGGCATATAATGGAACTGGAATGTGTTGATGACCTAGTGACATTTGTTTGTTTGGTCAGATAGCACGACCCTCTACACAAGTGATTAATAAAATATTGGGGCTAGTCAACCTCCAAGTCAGGGCCAGGAAACTTGTGGCCTTCCAGATGTTTTAGCCCACTAGCTAGCACAGCCAATGGTGAAGGATGGTGGGAGCTGTAAGCCCAAACATCTGGATATCTTTAGAAAATAGGAGTCTTCTGTTGTAATTCTATGCACACTTAGAGGTGTAAGTTCCACTGCATATAGTGGGACTTGTTTCCAAATAAATAAGCATATCTGTAGGTTATCTGTAACTGAAGCTGCTAGTAAGATGGATAATGCTATGAAGTAAGCTGTTTGTTCAATGAACTGACTGTTCTATCTGTACCTGAGGAAGATTCCTGTGATGCCAAGCTTGCTCTTTTTCTTAAGAGATGGCTGGAGTCCTACAAACAAGCATAGACAGAACAAATATTTAAAGCTTTATAGCATGTGAGTGCTTTCTGGATATATTCTTTAAACCTACCACCGTTATTTGAAACAGTAAATAGTGTCAAGTATAGTCACAGCATGTTAAAATACCTCGCACACATCTTGTCATTGGTCCTATTCACATTTCACCTCCCATTTTGAAAATGCAACCTACAACTGGAGGTTGCTCTGTGACACCTGAACTGGCTAGGTTAATTGTGGGTGAAGAAACATAAAGTTAAGCTAACAACAAACTGCAAGTTACTCTGGGATAAACATCCCACAACCCAAAGTAATTTTGAAAGTAGTGAACAAGTAATGCTATGTTCAAGTACAGGGCTACTAGGTTTGATTGCTTTAAAACACAGGAGAGACTACATAAATTTCTGGTCTGTCCTCAACTGGTAGCCATGATAGGTAAACAGCAGTTCTAAGTTCAGAGGACTATTGCTTTCAATGCACTAAATGCAAATTTCCAGGAAATATTTGGCTGGCTGCCCCTGGAAACAGGATGCTAGACTAGAGGAGCCTCCAAATCTGTTAATGTAGTGACCCAGCTGTTTTAATACACGTACTCCATGGTGGGATATTAAATGTAATAAATAAATATTTCCAGGTGGTGCAAATGTTAAAGAACTGACAATCTGTGAGATCACTTTATATGGCATCCTGCATGCCCAACCTCCAGACCACTTTCAAGAGAATAGATCAACCTTGGTATATAAAGGTTGGCCAACCTTTATATCTAGCAGCAACACCTTAGCTAAAACAAACATCCAGACCTGTTATTCCCAAAATCTAAACTAGGCAAGTTTCAAGTTCAGAATTTCAGAAAGTCTCCCAATCTTAGGTACTTATTACCTTTATCACATACCTGGTTAGAAGGACTAGTTTCTAAAGATTTATTTACAGAGCCAAAAGATTGTTGCTTGGATTGCATTTTCTCCTTCATTTGTCTTTCTCTGCCAACAGTTTCTAATAATACCTGAGATGATGTAGTAACTGAATCAGGCTGTAGCATCTTAGAACCCCTGGGTTTTTTGCACCAAGATATGTGGCTCTCCTTTTCCAAGCTGTCATTTTCTGATATTGAAGTCCATTTATTCAAGTCTGAACCAGTTGTATGTTCCATTTTACGTTCTCTACTATTTTCCACTAATGGTGTTCTTGTTCGAACCGGACATTTTCCATTTATTTCATGGGTTTTTGTGAAGGTACTATCTTTCAATGGACAGTCAGTAGAGCTATCTACTATGCAAATTTTCTGAACCAATACTTTTTGATTAGCGGCCTTCATAGTCATATTGATTCCAATATCTGGATAATCTTTTTTCTCTGACCTAGCAGCCTTTAAAAGAGCCTCTTTTATAGGACTCCTGTTTGATGCTGGCAACAACTTCTTTCTTCTATTTGGCTTTGGAGAAGACACAGTTTTTCTAGGAAGCTCTGAACATGAGACTTGAAAATCCGCTTCCCCATTCCTGCATTCTGGTGAAAACAGCACAGTCATAGCTTGGTCAACAAATATAAAATCACACATGATTACTACAATCCCATGGCAACAGAAGATATACTGGGCATAATCTTGCTCTCTGGAACAAGGAACTAGTTTTAAGGAACTATTGAAATGTTGTAAAAAGTTTTGAATTTGTTTCAATATATGGATCTGTGCAAATAAAAGCACTTCTTCACAAAGCATGAAGTTAAACCACTGATTGTGCTACCACAAAATGTATTGATTTCATTAATTTGGACAGGAGGTTAGATGAAGTTATGAAGGATGTTGTTATCAAAACTACCAGTCATGATGAGTTTACATTCTCTCCAAAATCATGGGCACCATACCTCTGAATATCAGTTGCTAGGGAACACAAACAAGGGAAGGGGTGCTGTTATGTTCATGTCCTGCTTTGGGCTTTCCACAAGCAGCTGGGAACAGGCTTTTGGTCTGATTTGCTTTGACTCATGCTCATTTTATCTGAATCTTTTAGATCAGTGGTGGGTGGACATCAGGCTTACTGAATGTATGGTTTTGGTTGGTTCTGCCTTCATGCAAGGTCCATCAACTGGAGCCAGGTGCAAAAATCATTCACTTAGAATTAAAGAATTCTGAGTCCATGAATTCATTCTGAGTGCTAGAAATGCATGCATTTCACAATCTGACAACACTGCAATGTTATTTTAATAAGAAATTTGCTAATTGCTGGAGGTGCGATGCAGATATATTTCTTTCAAACATATTTTTTGGCAATTTCCAGCAGTTGTTTCTTGCAGGAAGGTGGGTGTTATATAATTAAATTTGGTACTGGAACATTCTTTACTACTTGAGAGCTGGAGTGATATGGTGGTTATAGTGTTGGCCTGGGGACTTGGAAGATCCTAGTTCTCAGGCATGATGTTCAGTGGGTGACTTTGGACAAGTCACTCACTTCCAACCTAACTTGCTTCATGGGGTTATTGTTCTGAGGATAAAATAGAGGAATGTAAGCCACCTTAAGATTCCTCACAAACAAGTTGGGATATAATGAAATCCAACTAGGATGATGATGACGATGACAACTGGTGTATATGCTTTTTAAATTGTTTACTTGCTTCATGGAAATTCATGAATTCATAAATGGATTCTCTGTACACTTTGGACAACTAAGAGACTAACACTTCAACACTGAAAAGATAATTTAAAAGATAATTTAAAAGATAATAACTCCAAGCACGGGATTGGGACCTGGATTTTGGAAGTGGTTAACGCTTCTCTGAGGGAGGGTCGAGTGCCTGCCCCTTTAAAGGAGGCGGTAATACGACCGGTCCTGAAGAAAGCATCACTGGATCCAGAGATGGCCACTAACTATAGACCTGTGGCCAACATCCCGTTTCTGGGCAAGGTGCTGGAGCGAGTGGTGGCGGGACAACTCCAAGCACTCTTGGAGGAAACTGATTATCTGGATCCTTTTCAGTCCGGCTTCAGACCCGGGTACAGTACTGAATCTGCCTTGGTCGCCCTGTACGACGACCTGTGCAGGGAGAAGGACAGGGGGAGTACATCCCTGTTGGTTCTTCTGGACCTCTCGGCGGCTTTCGATACCATCGACCATGGTATCCTTCTGGATAGACTTGCGGGATTGGGGGTTGGAGGCACTGCTTTGCAGTGGTTCCGCTCCTATCTCGACGGTCGATTCCAGAAGGTAGTGCTGGGGGACCATGTCTCTACGTCATGGCAGCTATGCCATGGGGTACCACAGGGCTCCATTCTATCCCCTCTGCTATTTAACATCTATATGAAACCGCTGGGAGAGGTCATCAGGAGGTGTGGGCTGCGGAATCATCAATACGCTGATGATACCCAGCTTTACCTCTCATTCTCCACTAATCCAGGTGAGGCAGTGGCTGTGCTGAACCGGTGCTTGGCCAAGGTAAGGGAATGGATGAGGGCCAATAAACTGAAACTCAACCCAGACAAGACGGAGGTCCTGTTGGTTGGCGGATCGGGTTTCGGAGAGGGTGGATTTGACCTGGTCCTGAATGGTGCAACACTCCCTCTTAGGGATAAGGTCCGCAGCTTAGGTGTACTCCTCGACCCGGAGCTTTCTTTAGAAGCTCAGGTGACAGCGGTAGCGAGGAACGCCTTCCTTCAGCTTCGGCTGATTAATCAGCTGCGCCCCTACCTGGAATACGACTGCCTGGCGACGGTGACACACGCGCTGGTGACTTCCCGCCTAGACTTCTGTAACGCGCTTTACGTGGGGCTTCCCCTGAAGACAGTCCGAACACTTCAATTGGTGCAAAATAGAGCTGCCAGGTTGCTGACGGGGACGGGGCGTTATGCTCACATGACTCCAGTCCTCCATCAGCTTCACTGGCTTCCCATTGAAGCCCGGGCCCAATTCAAGGTGTTGATTATGACCTACAAAGCCCTAAACGGCTTGGGTCCTGGCTACCTGCACGAGCGCTTACGTCCGTATATGCCCGACCGCCCTTTGAGATCTGCGGGAGAGTCCCTTCTCCGGGAACCCTCCATGAAAGAAATTAGGAGAGTAAGTACCCGGAGGAGGGCTTTCTCTGCGGTGGCGCCCAACCTATGGAATTCACTCCCCAAAGAGGTCCGGCTGGCACCGTCGTTACTGGTTTTTCGGCGCCAGGTAAAGACCTTTTTATTTAAACATCATTTCAATTGTTAAAACATATGATCTGGCCTGGGCAACTTCTTCTTCCTTCTCTTTCTCCTCCCATATTTTTATTTTATACTGATAATTTTAATTTTGTATTTGTAAATCAATGTATTTTTTGTATTGTTATATTTAATGGTAATTTATTATGTACTATTGTATTTCAATGTATTTTATCATGTTGTAAGCCGCCCCGAGGTTTCGGCAAGGGGCGGCATAGAAATGTTATAATAATAATAATAATAATAATAATAATAATAATAATAATAATAATAATTTCCCTCCTACTAAAATGCAATAGATTAAGGACCTAATATTTTCAGTGTTTGATTGGGTTGCATACAAAGGGATATTTATTTGGCTATCTGGTTCACTTTTGCTGAAGCCTATGTATAATTTGAAGAAAATTGTATTTTCATATAGATATGCACTGCATATGCATTCATTAAAAGAAAATGTACAAATTCATGTTTTTATATTTTAAAAACAAAAAACAAATGGAAGTAGCACAGTATAGTGCTATTGTGCGTAAGACATCCTAGACTCAATCCCTGGCCAGGAAAGACTTGTCACATACTTGAAAGAACTACTGCTAGACAGTATAATGTTCATAACTATTTTATGGTTGTAATAGAGATTTAATATATATTTATATTTTTGGCTTTTTATGGAAACCATCTTGGGATTTTATAATAATCAGATGATAAATAAGACATTTAAAATAAATGAATAAATAAATAAAACTGAGCTGGATGGACTAATATTTATTTATTTAAGATATTTGTATGCCATCCTTTGTGAGAGCCTAATAGATGATAGTACAAGTCAACTTTTTAATTCACCTCTCTTATGCTACTCCCTTGTACTTCAATTTTTCCTCTGAGCCTTGGACAGCTGCTGCCAGGCAGTTTCTCAAAACATTATTGTAATTCAGGGCCACAATACTTAGAGCAGAGGTAAACAATCTTGTCTTTCCATATGTTTTAACCTACAACTCTTGTTAGCCTTATTCCAGGTGAATAAACATCTGGAGGCTATAAGTTGCTCATTCTAGATCAGTATTTTTCTTAAAAATCCCCATATAGAAAATGTCAATGTCACCAAACTTTTAAGAATAATTGGAAATTATAACCAACTGCCAGCCTTCCAACTTGAATCCTATTTCTTTATAAAAACACTAGTTTCTTAGGAACCCGATGACCCATATGTGAGACTGCCAAACAACTTAGGAATCATTAAAGATTGCCCAACACCTAAACTGTTCATGATATTGCCTCACTCACAATGCTCTGGGATTTTGTCTTCAGCTACGAAGCTTACCACTTCCTCTGTCTGGTAACAAAAAGCCTGGTGCAATGCATTATGTTCTATATTTTCATTCCTCACTGCACTTGAAGCATGAGCAGCTGCTTCAAACCTGCAGCACAGGGTAAAAACTGAAAGTTACACAAACCTAGATTTTTTCCCCCCATAGGTAAGTGCCATGTGTGTTGAGACTCTAAGCTGAAGAAGAATTTTACATGAACTTTAAAAAAAATAAAAATAAAAAAGACTGAATTACCTTGTTTTAGGACTGGTTTGAAGAAGTCAGTAATGCACTGGTTTCTGTAAGAGGAAAGAACAAACAGTGATGGAAAATGTTCCATGCCTAAACATGACAGATGTCTGAAATACATTATTTTGTATCAACAATATGGTGGCTCTGGAGCAGCCAATCTGTTTGACAAGTATGCCACAAATCAAATATATCAGAGTTTGCCATAGCCTTCACCTGCTCCAAGTCACATACCTCGTCTACTTGGCACTGGAAAGACACCTAGAAGTGTAAACTGTGGAGGGATAAAGTAGGAAATCTGTTCACTGTATCCAACCATTGCTTCTTATAGTGAGCTCATGCAAAGGCCCCATTCGGTAACCACACTTCATCCAACTGTTTCTCAGATTTACTATACTGGAGGCAATTTCCAATTAAACATTAGTTTAGCTTTACACCTTAAAAAGCAGGCTCTAGTAAGAGCTGAGGTTTGCAGGTATGGCTTCTGTCCATGCCATGCGTGTGCCTGACTCTCACTGTCCTTGGTGTGTTTCCTGATTGAAAGAAGGCTACCACAGACTCAAAGCATAATTCGCTACATTCATACATGACTACTCTCTCTGATGGTATTCACTGTTGCTACTAATACTGGAATAGTTTAGAAACAAGAACATTAATGCCTCAAAATGGCCCAGTCAAAGCTTGCACCTCAATCCTATTGAGGATTTGTGCCAAGATTTGAAATTGCTGTACTGAACATGTTTTACATCACTGTTGGATCTTCCAACAATAAGCTTTTTTTCCATTCTGGAGTTCCTACAGTTGGCAAATCCTACATTAGAAGCTAATTAATATCATTAGCTAGGCTAGCAATTCATGGCAACTCCTCCTATGGTTTCTATTATCCAGTACTTTAAAGAGGAAAAGACCAGCTTTTCATTGAATAATGCCAATTGGGAAAAATCCTTTCCAACATTCTCTCTTGTACCCTTTTATCAGTTTCAGTCTGCCTCTTCCATTTAATTACTAACTTAATGCTTTTATATATCTTCATTCCTTCAATCTACTGTCTCTTCTAATAAAGCACACATCAAAGGTATATGTCAGTTGGAGTTTACCAGAAAGTCTGAACAGTTAAGAGACTGGAGGTAGGTAATTAAGTAGAAACAGTATTTGTCTTTTAAAAATATTGTTTCCATCCCAGGCAAAATTATTGTTCAGAATATGGCCTAAGACCTCATACACTTCCCCCAAAATAATGAAATCAATGGGGATGGAAGCTCTGTGGAATAAGTTTACCCTTATCTGATCCTTCTTGACTAGGTATTTGGAGTAAGAGATTTGAGGCAATAATCAATACACCCTGAATTGAAGAGTGAATTGGCTTAAACAATTATCACTATCCAGAGACAGAAGTAAATACTTTCCCCTTTTGGAAAACAAACGCCACAATGCTTGTTCACAAGGCTTGTTCTTAAAAAGAAGATCCAAAGATCCAAAGTACACCTTATCAAATAACTGAGAAAATTGTTAATCCTATATCTTGTTATTTTGTAGAAAGTCCTACTGAAAAAAGTAGGTCATTCTACCAGTTTCATAATTAGGATCAGAACGCAGTTAAAGTTAGGTACCATTCAATTCTATTGTCCTTTCCATTTGCAGAACTCACAGTTAAGTTACATAACAGGACTAAAGGCTGTCAAATGCACAGATATAGTATTGAACATTCCCAGATAATAGAGCCAACCAAGGGTAACCTTCCACCTTCAGGGTCTACTTGAGACAGGGGGCAGCTACTGTGATATCTTAGGTGATAGTGTTCCCCTTCTTCCAAGCAAATCAGGACAAAGGTTTTCTAACTGAATGTCTTTATTATGTTAAAGCTGTCCAGCAAGGCCGGCTTTTGATACAAAAGATGAGCAGTGCAGAAGCCAATAACAGAAGAAATAAGCCAATCTGGAATACCAATCATTGGGAAAGTGATACAAAGTTGATTCCAAAATGAACACCTTTCCTCCCTTCCAGAACTTCAAGGTGGAGCATGTTACTTATGGACCAACTACCTTCAGTATGTGACACTTCTCAAATGGTCTATTCTCTTAACTTGACCAATGTTAAGTCTGCTCACTAAAGTTTTCCACAAAACTTGAAACTGTCTGATTTTCAACAACTGCCAAGGTCAGCCACTCTCAGCCTTTTTACCTTAGAGGAACCCTTGAAATGGTTTTCATGTCTCTGAACAAAAATTATTATAAAAACATTATCATTATTAATCCACAGTTCAACATATGCCAATACACTCAGAAGTACCACAAAAAATTTATATTACTGTTGTTCTTACTTATTTTATTAACATAACATGCCGCCTTCCCATAAGAACTGCTTCGTAGCTTAAGGGGAGAAAGGCCACTCTAGCCCAGCCTAATCTACTTGTAGGAAGGGTCCACCTGTGAGGCATGAAGGCAGCTACCACCTCCTCTTCTTTCACCACTACACTGCAAAGATAGACCACCTCTGTCCAAGGAGGCTTTGCTGGTGGCCCACCACTTCCTTTTCCTGCTGCTCACCAACTAGTGCTTGTTTCTTACCTACAAATCATGTGTGATGAAAGGAAGATGTGACATAAGGGCCATTGCTGGGCATATGGAATCACCTCCATGCTGCTCCCCACAAGCCTGTGGCAGATGTGATTATTACCCTGGCCCCTTCCCTCATGGATGGGAACTCTCACTGGGCCCTTACCCACTTCTAGGCAATCAGTGCAAGTGGAAAGGCTCCTCAGGCAATTACTCATGTTTATATTATAAACACACACATTTATGAATGTGAAAACTTGATATTTTATAGACATACCACAGTCTCTCATGGAACCCCCAGTGACCTTTTGCAGAACTCTCATGGAACCCCCAGTGACCTTTTGCAGAACTCTCATGGAACCCCCAGTGACCTTTTGCAGTGACCTTTTGTTGTGAGCCGCCCCGAGGCTTCAGCGAATGGGGCGGCATAAAAACGTTTTAACAAATAATAAATAAATAAATAAACTCTCAGTTTCCAGAGAACCCTGGTTGACAAGGGTTGGTCTAGTTTTCCCTGGATATGCTGGCCCTGGCTTTTCAACTCTGGATGCTGGCACTATGAGTCAGAATTCAATTCAAATACCTTTGAAGGGTGTATTATAGGAGGAAAATAAAGCTGAAGGCAAAAGCAGCAGAGCCAAAAATACTAATACCAATACCTTAAGTTCTTGCTACCAGTAGCTACCAACATATTGTGATTTAAAGCTCTTACTGCTGGCAAATAAAACATAGGAAAGGCATATTAACCTTTGAAATGGGGAGGAGGAACTGTACAAAAGCCAGGAAACCACTGGATAATTGGTGCTGAGGGAAACGGACTGGATGATGGAGATGGGAACACAGCCATCTGAGGAACCTCAGTGTGATATATTTGCTTGGGCAGTCTGAGGTTCCTCAAACCTGGAGTAGACCAAACATGCTTCAATCATAGAAAGCACAAATCAAGTTACAAACATTGATAGGACCACATTATATAAAATGTATTTTTAGGGAACACTGCATTTCCTATATAAAATGTATTTTTAGGGAACACTGGATTTCCAATGGTTCCATTAAATGCTTACCTTACACCAGTCTCAAACACATATATTTGATTCCACATTGTAGATGGATGCAGGTAATATTTTAGTGGCAAATGTACTATTAACAATTTAGTCCTGAATATCAACAACTTAGAGGGTCTCATTTGGGACCACTGTCTGCAGTTTACCTCTTAATTCTCTAGGAAACAGGTCCACACTTCTTCATATTGTTTACATAGTAGACATTGTGATATAATAGCTACACTCTAACATCTAAGATGATCTTTAAGTGAGACTCAATACATAAGAAAATCAATCTGTTATGGTTGCTTTTGATAATCTGATGTTTTAGTATTCACAGTTTTAGAATAATGCTTCACAAAATATTTGCAGTTTACAATTGCAAAATCTGTTTCACTTTCGAGGAAGAGGTGTGAATGCAGATATGCGCCTTGCCTTTATGTAAACATCTCACCTTCAGGGCCAGATTGCTCCAGGAAGGTCAAAATGCTCTCAAAAAAAGCTTCTGCCAGGACTCTGCTTTTGCTGCAGTGCTTTTCTTCCTCCAAAACAAGATGAATCACAAAAACAAAACAATGTAATCCCTATGCAAGAGTACAGAGTTCTCTTTGTTACAGAAGGGACAGCAGTGTTACTTCTAACTGGTGCTAAGACTTATTTGAACAACAGATACTCTTGCAGTTCCAGAAAGGTTACTGTATGCTACTGTTTCTACACATGCTGCTGCTCACATTTTGCTGGTAAACTAAGTCTGTACTTCATAAATGCAAAATAGATTACAATTCCACAGTTAAACTCAGGGAATGGCCACTGGAGAGCCTTCTAAATTCTGAGTTCAAAAGAAAGAAATTTGAGAGATTAATCAATAAACATCCCCCAGCACAGGATTCAAACATAATACAAAAGACTACTTTTAAAAAGAAAAAATAGCAACCCTGTTTCCATTAAAAAGCTTTCTTACACATACACCTGGTCTCCTCTTCAAGTGCAATTAAGCTACAGTCTCTTTTTTCCCATAACAATATTAGACATAAAACAAACATCAGTACAAAAAGAGGGCTTTTAATGGAATAAAACTGGCCAATTTAATTCTATCAAGTTAGTGACCCACATGTCAGTTTTAGGAAGTCTAATGTGGTTTTTACATTTTTATGCTAAAGTAAGTAACTTAGTGCTAAAATACCATCCAAAAAGGACCCCAGGTGGCCACAAGCCATCAGTCAGACCTCTAAATTTCTGTAATGCATAAAATTTAGATCTCTAATTTTTTGTAAACACATCTGTATCTTTAATGTATGGAACAAGCCTTGTTGGACAAATCAGCATACTAAATAAATAAAGCTTCTATGCCGCCCCATTTGCCGAAGCCTCGGGGCAGCTTACAACAATAAATAAATAATAACAATATAAAACAATATAATTGGAGACGTCCTGGCCAATGTGGCATATAAGAGATTAACCCACATATACTGGACCCTTGAAACTGGAAATAGTAAAGGAAAAATTGGGGGCTCGTCTTATACATCCAACATATGACAAACACCAGAAAAACAGACCAAAATGTAGTCTTATATACAAGTTACCTTATATGCTGGTATATACAGTAACTTCTGAAAAGAAGCCCTGCCGCTCCAGTCTTTCAGAGGTCTCCAAGTATCAAACAAAACATGTAGACAGGCAATCTAGTACACATAACTCAAAAGGCTCAGAACGCTTTTGATCAAGTCCCTCAAAAGCTCAAAATTATCAATTCAGCTGATAAATTCTATTTCACCAATGTTACACTGAAGTTTCCCTTTGATGTTCTTTTACTCAAGACCCGTGATAGAAGAAGAGTATTCTAAGAAACTGAATTGTCCTATAACTAATTTCAGGATAAACAACTAGTGTTCTTGTAGTTGAGACTACAAGAATTAACTACGGCATAAATTTTCATAGACTGTGACACAATAAATGTGTTAATCTTTCAGACTGTTGTTGATTTATTGCAAAGGAATAACATGGCTATCTGCCTGGAAATAAAGTCAAAATATTTCCTTTTCATTTCAGAGTATGTCCATATAGTATTCGCATAGAATACATTCCTGTTAATCAGCAACACCAAAGAACAGCAACAATTCTACAGCAAAAGGAGACTACTAAACTAGATTTTGTCAACAAATATTTGCTTGGGACTCAGTAAGAGCCAAGGCCTCTCCCCCATTCTATTACAGGTATTAGAGTAGCATAGCAAGGCTAGGGAGTTGTTTTCACCAATTACTGCTATTCTGAATTATTAGCATGGTAAAATAGCATACTTTTTAGGCTTGCACAGTATTGTTTGCTGCACTGTTTGCAATTTATGTCTTCCAGGCCCTGTTGTCTACAACTTTTTTCCTCTACATCCATATATAAACCTACATGTATCTCTCTCTTGTGCATTTGCTGTAAAAGACTCTAGTTCACAAAAGCTTATAAATCTGTTTACTAAAACTGCCCCAAGATACCTTTTAGAGGACCCTATCAAACCAATTTGCAGTAGCTAATTGTCACCACAAATCTTTCCTGAAAGAAGCACAATTACCTACAATAGTTACCCAGGAAAATACCAGTATTATTACCGCCCTTGTTCTTCAGTTCAAAACTATTATCTCAGCTATAGCTACTTTGGGTTTACACTTCTATTTACATGAATTCCGATATCATGGGATGACCATTTCTGAACTTAGACTGCCTTCCTTCTAAAAGGAAAAGCATCTTTTTAGAAGGACCGATGGGCAATTGTCACTCACCATGACCAGACTGTCCCTAATTCTGTCTTCCCCTGTTGAGGAACTGTATGTTCTGTACCTCAACCTTAGACTGCATAGAATGACCCCATCTCCAGATAATGCATTGCTTGAAATATTGCTTTGGGTCAGACAGACATACAGAGCCTTTGGAGACCCACATAGGCAGTTTAATGCAGGGCTGTTCCAACCAAACTGTCTTTTTTTCTTTGTTCTCTGCCATGAATTTGGTGTTCTGAACTGTTTATTGCTTATTCAGCAAAACTGATGCACTTCCTTACAATTGCTTGTTGATGTGTGCTCAGAATATTACCAATCTTTTTCCCATTCTATATTTTTACCCAAATCCTTAATATATATTTTACTCTGTTTTCATCAAACCCCCAGCTATGCTTTGGAGGCAAAAGAAAGGAAACTCACAAGAGGCAAGCTATATTTTGGGGTCACACTATGCTATGGCAACACAACATGCTGAATGCAACCTGCAAGCTAGCTGTTTGCCTCTAAAGACACCAATGGGCCACCAGAAAGTGGCATCTCCAGTGAGATCCTTAGTCAGTTGGCCCTTAGGGGCAGAAAGCACTTGGGAACTAAGGCGAATTGATTTCTTTTACTCTCGCTGGAAACAGCTAGTACCCATGGGTCCTGCTGCATCAGACCTTGCACCCTTTACATTGAGAAGCATTCACACGTAGGAGCGTGTCACCTGGCACCTGAGATCCATTTTACCTCACAACTCTTATCACCCTATTGTCTTAGGGGCGAGGAAAAGTGAGCGGTGCGCGCACGCCCACAGACTCGCACGCGGCGGGAGTAGCACAGGAAGCTTTGGAAGCGCCGGAGAACTGCTTGGCCTCGCGCCCGTCACAAGAAAATCGGTGCGCTCCCTTCCCCTACCTGCTATCCTTAGTGCTGTCCCGCCGGCCTATCGGTTTGCAAGGGCGGCCGGGGGAGCTCGCGGGAGAATCGAGCGCGGAAAGGCCGTCTCCGCCGCCGCTGCTATCGTTGCCGCCGCTGAGGCAATACGTCATGTCCGCGGAAAGCACCGCCGCCTCGCTTCTTGCGCTGACACAAACAGAGCGCTCCGAGCCTTCCGTTCTCCATAACACGGCGCTGCCGGTCATGGGACAAGACAGACGTAGGACTCTTACGGAAGCGCTCCGATTGGTTGAACTTGGGGGTGGGCGTTCTCGTCCAGAACCGCTCTGGGCAGAACAGGGAATCCAAGCGCTCCTTCGGATTGGCTACAGGGAGAGAAGACCGTTAAAGTGATACAGAGATCTCATTACGTCACTCGTTCTTACCGCACGACTCCAGAAAGCGGGAGAGGCATTACGTAGGATTTTTGTTGCCTTCTCCTCGCGGGCGCGCCTGATAGGCTAATAGGAAAGCGCGCGGCTGGCCGGGTGGGCGGTTCTCGCGCGCCTTGCGGAGGAGCTTTTTCTAACGCGTTGGAGACGGCAATGCAAGTCGATTGCAAATGCCTTGGGAAGGCGTTGATACTAACCGCTTCTGCGAGCGACAGCTGCCTTTCAGCTTCAAGATAACCATTAGTAATAGGAGTTATTATTATTGCCATATAGTTGACAACCCATTTGTGTAATAATGAGAAACTGTTTTCAGGTGCCAGAGGTACCACAGATGAGAATTTATTTACTGGGGATATTTCTAACCCGTGCAATCCCTATGCGTCTCTGGACAGCTTGTAAACAAAATTCAATACAACAATCTAAAATGCCATAATACCCCGAACAAAAACAATAATAAAACTAATAACCCACAATTGAAGTAAAAAATAATTAAAATCTTTTAAACATTAAAATACTGGGTGAATAAAAAGGTCTTGACCTGGCACCAGAAAGCATATAATGTCAGCACCAGGCAGACCTCTCTAGGGAGCACATTCCATAGCTGGGGCACCACCGCAGAGAAAGCCCTCCTCTGGATATTCTGTCTCCTCCTTCAAGGAGGGTTCCCAGAGCAGGGCCTCTGCTGCAGATCTTAAGGGGAGGAAGGACATGTAAGGAAAAAGACGTTTTCATACAGGTTTGGAAAGGGGGGAGGCACAGTTGCCCAAAAACCCAGATGGGGTCGACATAAGTCTGCAGTCTTATCCCTGTTTAGAAAGAGAGAGAAAAGTCCAACAACTCCCAGCATTCCCTAGCCAGCCAGCTAGGGAATTGTGGGACATGTTTATCTTGGATAGAATTATGCCTGAAACAGTATCAAGGGACCACAGCTGCTTTCTGGGTCAATAGGCCCAGTCTTCCTAGCAGTACCACCCAGAGGAAAAACAAAGGAGTCAGCAGCTGCTCCTTTTAGCTGCCTTTACCCTGGCCTTGAACCTGCAGCATATCTCATCACTGAAACAGGATTCTTTGAGTTACATGCTACAAATTCTTTAAAGCCTCCAGAGATTGTTATATTGTAAACAAGTAGATATGTTCCATAGCCAAACTGCAGTTAGAAAAATAGTAGAAAATGTAAGAATTCAAAAGCCTCCTGTCCTCTTTCCTGATAGATCATACATTATGCTGAACTTTCAGCAATGTAGGGCACAATCCTATTCAGGTATGGATTGAAAAATGTGTTATAACTCCTAGCATTCCTCAGCCAGAATTGAGGGCTTCAGGAATTTTTTCTGTCTAAACCTGCCTAGACTTGTGTCATTATTGTCTGTCCACAAAGAGCACTGACTATTACATTGTAACAGAATGTTTGCTAGCATGAATAAAGCTACTCCTAACTGGTAACAGATGAAGACATAAAATTAATACCACTTAATGCTTCAATGTGGCTTTGGCCAGTATTTTTTTCAAAGTGTTCCACTGAAATCACTTTATTAATTTACTTGATATCCTACCTTTTTTCTTACAAAGAACTCAAGGTGGCTTACATAATTCTCCTGCTGCTCTCAATCTTATCACCACAACAACTACCCTGTGAGGTAGGCTGGGTTGAGAGGTGATGGCAAATGTGTTGGGAAGGAGGCCCAAAGTCACCCAGTGAGCACCATAACTGAACAGTGACTAGAACCAAGATCACCTGAGTCTCAATCCTGTTTTTATTTATTTAGTTAGAAAATTTCTATGCCACCCCATTCGCTGAAGCCTTGCATATGCTTAACCACTATGCCACGCTGGCTCTCCATTATGTGTAAAACTCTGCAAACCATAATGTGCTTTAGAAAACCTACGTGTTTCATTAATAGAATTGTTCAAATACTGAAGCAAATGCAGTATAGGGATTAAGGTCAGAGAATGGATGTGTTTGTATTCCAGCTTGAAGTACTTAAAGATCATGCATTACTTGTATTGCAGATTTACTTGTCTGGATATATTTCCTGTTAGATTTCAGGCTCTAGCAATGGGAGCATTTATATTTTCATATCCTTAATTAAATTAGTCAGTTCCTTTTGGATCTGGAGTACCTGCTCCTCAGTTGTGGCGCTGCCCCAGTTTTAGGATTGTTTGCGAATATGATCAGCAGATTGTTCACCCCTGAGATGTTAACTAGCATTCTTAGAGGACATTTTTCTGTCCTGGGGCCGATCCTGTTTAATCTTTTCATTAATGACATGGAAGAAGGGGTGAACAATCTGCTGATCATATTCGCAAACAATCCTAAAACTGGGGCAGCGCCACAACTGAGGAGCAGGTACTCCAGATCCAAAAGGATCTGGACAGACTATGGAAGTGGACAGGAGACAGCAGGATGCCGTTCAATGTGGGTAAGTGCAAGGTCTTGCACTTGGGGCATAGGAATAGGTGTCATAAGTACAGGTTAGGGGACAAGTGGCTGGAGAGCAGCACTTGTGAAAGGGACCTTGGGGTGCTGGTTGACTGCAGGCTAAACATGAGTCAGCAGTGTGATGCGGTGGTCAAGAGGGCGAACGCCACCCTTGGTTGCATAGCCAGAAGTGTGGCTTCTAGATCAAGAGAGGTATTACTACCACTCTATATGACTCTGGTGCACCCACAACTGGAGTATTGTGCTCAGTTTTGGGCCCCTCATTACAGAAAGGATATAGCCAGGTTAGAGTCAGTGCAGCGTAGGGCCACAAGGTTGGTGCCTGGTTTGCAGGGGATGCCATATGAGGCGAGACTGAGGGAACTGGGTCTCTTCAGCCTGGAGAAGAGGAGACTCAGAGGGGATATGTTGGCAACATACAGGTATGTGAGGGGATGTCACACGGAGATGGGTAGAGACCTGTTCTTCCCTGCAGAGGAAGGCAGGATGCGCTCCAACGGAGCAAAGCTCAGGGAGCCAAGGTTCCATTTGGATGCCAGGAAGCATTTCCTGACAGTTAGGACCCCGAGGGTGCCGAATGGGCTTCCACGAGAGGTGGCTGAGGCCCCATCGGTGCAGGTGTTCAAGGATAGGCTGGACGTGCACATGGTGGGCATGTCGTGAGCGGAGCTGCCTGGTGCCGGAGGTCAGACTAGATGGCCCGGGAGGCCCCTTCTGACTCGCTCTGTTTCTATGTTAGAGCATCAAAACATTTCACATGCATTGTTTTTAAAATATTTAATTATGCAGAAATAAACTAATAAAGTATAACATGTTCCTTTCTGAGGGCTTCTTAATATGAGACATTTGTTGTACACATGTGATTCCTTGGACTTTGGTGAGATGAGAAAAGCTCTCCAGAAGGGAACAAACTGTTATGGGAAATCTGAAGAAAATAAAAGCCATCCCCTTAGCAGAAGATTGTTTTGTCTAATACTGTGTGGCCTTCATTTCTGATATCTAGCCACCAAATAAGAAAATTGTTTAGTGAGTAGGCCGCCTTCCTAACAATGCCAAATCTAAATCTCAAGCAACTTGGCCAATTAGAACCAATTCAGTGTGACTGCCTGTAACCGTCCAAACCTGAGGAATTTGGGCATCACATGGAGGTCAGGAACAACATTAAAGCAAATATTTCTTTCATACTTCCCTAATCTGCAAAAACACACAGCTGTTTTCCATGATATTTAGTTTGTTAACCTTGCATGCAAGGAAGAAGGGCTGAAGCACTATTTGGACTTCACATATTCCAGCAGAGCCTCACTCCTCTCTTCCCTGACCAATCTGCATTAAGTCTGAAGTCTCACTTATGGCTTTGGAGCTGCAGCCGCACTGTGCTGGCTGTGAGGGTAAAAGGAGGGTGTTCCAAATTCAAAGCAAAAGCTTTAGTCTCAGGGTACTTTTTCTAAGTCAGAGTTGGGGCTCTGAATTTTCCTATGGCCATCTAGATAGTATTCAGTGGCTAAGGGACTGTGCCCTTAAGCCACTAGAAAAAGAGCTCCAGTTTTTGAATTGGGAAAGAAAGATTGATGGCTGTTCAGGTTCCTAGCCTGAACCTGAACCTAACCAACTGCTCTAGGGGGCATTGTTGAACCATATCAGAATATATCTTACAAAGAGAGGAATACATGCCAGCCAGATGAGTCATGCATCTTTGATTTGCTTAGTCTAGGCTACAATCCTGAAATTGTTTGCTGCAAATTAGCCTTACTGTAATCAACAATATGGACATAATTGGACCACACTTGTTCACTATTTGAAGCTGAGTTGGTATGCTATTAGCTGCCAATGACCAAATATAAAAAAACCTCCTCATGTAGAACTGCTATCTTTACCATCAGTTAGCTCCTGTCTCTGCCTCTCTTTCTACCTCATCTTCCTCTGGAGGAATGAACCTAGAATGGACCATTATCAGTAACAGCCAAGGACAGGATCGTGCTATATATTCCCTATCAAAATCATATTTTCACTTAGATTTTTAAGTACAAGTTACTTTGGAGCCAACATATTCTGAAATCCAGGGTATAAATAAGTTAAGGAATCAGAATCAAAACCTAACAAGCCATCTTACTTAACCAAGGGCTTCTTTGCACACACACA